AGCTGTATCTCGTCAGCTTCTGAGATCTTAATAATGGTCATAGCATCAATCACTTGTTCCAAGTGTACAAATAAAACTGTGATTACCAAGACAGACTAGAAGACATAACTCTTCAGTATGAATATTATGGATTTGTCTACAAAGCTATTGCCTATAGCCTCTTCCAAATTAGAAAAATCCGTAATCTCAAAGGTGGGGACAAGACCCAAAACAGGTTGGAAACCAAGTTACAAATGGAGATACCTTTTGATCAGAAGGAACAAAATTACTTAAAACTAACACTAGATAATTAAAACGTACAAACTTAGACTACTAACCTCATTCAGCAAAAGAAAAAAAATCAGATCTGGAGTTAATTCCAATGAGTGATCAGAGTGAATGTGCACCATGAGATACAAGGAATACCCGTGACCTCCCACTCCTGAGGAGTACTATAGTATCCCCGGTTGCTACAAATATAGAGGCCCTATTGAAAGAGAAGTATTAATAAATTGCTCCTCCAGCTTCCTTCACAACTGATAAAATGCCTAAATTCCACTGCTTCACCAGTTTTCTTGTGTAGGATTTTAACACCAACACAGGAGAGAAAAACCTTTTTAAAAATAGGATTATTATAGTAAAGACACAAACATTGGCAGGAGGATTCAAGTACCTGAAAATACTTTTCTTTTTTTTTTTTTTTTTAATTGATCATATCATAGGTTCATGGATATCCCTGTAAGTCTTCCTGAAATAGTCAATAGGGGAGAGGCTGGCATCAATGACAGAGGTCATGTAGAACAAGGACACACTTCACTCTTCTTCATCTCTGGCATTTAAGTGGAACCAGGTCTTGAAATAAGCTGCAAACCACAGACAACAGAATGATCCAGAAAATGTGTCTCTTCATGATTAATGAGCCACTGCTGTCACTGTGCTGATAGAATTACTAATATGATATTCTGTGGTTGGAACGTGCTTCAATGCCCTTACATTCCCTGTGCCTAAGTAGGAAAAGCCATGAAACTATCTAATGGAAAAACAAAGGTTTGAGCTCTAGTGTAGTTATGTTAGGTACTGAATTTGCTCTTTGGATTTCCTACCACAGGAAAGTGGACTAAAAATGTTTGAGTCTGTGGGAGGAACTGGGAATTCAGAACAAAGATGCTCATCGGCCCAGGTCCTCAAAGGCATTTTGGTGCCTAACTCCCACTGCAATTATTGGAAGTTAAGAGCTTAATACCTTTGAGATCTAGGTCACAAGATATTTGAACTAGGGCTGTCGATTAATCACAGTTAACTCACACAATTAATTCAAAAAAATTAATCGTGATTAATCGCAGGTTTAATCACACTGTTAAACAGAATACCAATTGAAATTCATTAAAATGTTTTTGGATCTTTTTCTACATTTTTAAATATATTGATTTCAATTACAACACAGAATACACAGTGTATAGTGCTCACTTTATATTATTTTTTATTACAAATATTTGCCCGTAAAAATGATAAAAGAAATAGTATTTTTCATTTCACCTCATCCAAGTACTGTAGTGGAATCTCTTTATTGTGAAAGTGTAACTTACAAATGTAGATTTTTTTTGTTACATAACTGAACTCAAAAACAAAACGATGTAAAACTTTAGCACCTACAAGTCCTACTTCTTGTTCAGTCACGCTAAGAGAAACTAGTTTGTTTACATTTATGGGAGATAATGCTGCCCGCTTCTTATTTACAATGTCACCGGAAAGTGAGAACAGGCATTCACATGGCAATTTTGTAGCCGGCATTGCGAGGTATTTATGTGCCAGATATGCTAAGCATTTGTATGCCCCTTCATGCTTTGACCACCATTCCAGAGGACATGCTTCCATGCTGACGATGCTCGTTAAAAAAATGTGTTAATTAAATTAGTGACTGAACTCCTTGGGGGAGAATTGTATGTCTCCTGCTCTTTTTTACCCACATTCTGCCATATATTTCATGGTATAGCAGTCTCAAATGATGACCCAGCACATGTTGTTCATTTTAAGAACACTTTCACTGCAGATTTCACAAAACGCAAAGAAGGTACCAATGTGAGATTTCTAAAGAGAGCTACAGCACTCGACCCAAGATTTAAGAATCTGAAGTGCCTTCCAAAATCTGAGAGGGATGAGGTAGGGAGCATGCTTTCAGAAGTCTTAAACGAGCAACACTCTGATGCGGAAACTATAGAACCTGAACCACCAAAAAAGAAAATCAACCGTCTGCTGGTGGCATCTGACTCAGATGATGAAAATGAACATGTCAGTCTGCACTGCTTTGTATTGTTATCAAGCAGAACTGGTCATCAGCATGGACGCGTGTCTGGTGGTTGAAGCATGAAGGACATATGAATCTTTAGCGCATCTGGCACGTAAATATCTTGCAATGCCGGCTACAACAGTGCCATGTGAATGCCCGTTCTTACTTTCAGGTGACATTGTAAACAAGAATAGGGCAGCATTATTTCCTGTAAATGTAAACAAACTTGTTTATCTGAGCAATTGGCTGAACAAGAAGTAGGACTGAGTGGACTTGTAGGCTCTAAAGTTTTACATTGTTTTGTTTTTGAATTCAGTTATTTTTTTGTACATAATTCTATGTCATGATAAAGATTGCACTACAGTACTTGTATTAGGTGAATTGAAAAATACTATTTTTTACAATGCAAATATTTGTAATAAAAATAAATATAAAGTGAGCAATGTACATTTTGTATTCTGTGTTGTAATTGAAATCAGTATTTGAAGATGTAGAAAACATCCAAAAATATTTAAATAAATGGTATTCTATTGTTTAACAGTGTGATTAATTGTGCGATTAATCATTATTTTTTTATCGCACAATTAATCACGATTAATTTTTTTTAATCGCTTGACAACCCTAATTTGAACACATAAATGGCTTATTCCTTACACAGCTATGGATATACCTAGAACTCTGCACCCTTATATAGATTTATATTTACTGTAAATCCCATACTGCAAATAGTTGTATCTAATTTTCAAACCTGTAACTTTTCAGACCTTTATTTTCAAATATGACAACACACAATCATAAATGAGATGTATATGTAGGTCACATTTGACCTTTTGAGGTTTCTAAAAGGTTTTGAGGTTTGAGCTGCTAAAAAATATTTTAGTGTAGTTTGACAGAGTGAACTGTCACATAGAGGGAACAAAACTTGGTAGCTGTAGGTGGTCCAGCTGGATCCAATCAACCATAATCCTCTCAGAGGCTGCTGGGAATGGGAGGGGTCTGTGGCTTATACAAGGTAGACCCAGCTACAGTGGGAGTGTGTGTGTATTTTTTGCTTCCTGAAGGATGGCTTCATTAAAGCTGGATGTGTGGAGCCTGATAAGTAGCCCAGGAAGGTTAGAGCGGAGCCTTGGAGCAGAGTATTGGAGAATGATAGACCCTTGGAAAGGAAGGTACTGTACCAAGGAAAGTTTGGGTACAGGCTGGGCCTGCCTCCCTTTAAAGACTTGAATGTTGGTGTTCCTGACAGGGGAAAAAGGGTCTTAACTGCACTTGAGAAACATGGAACATGCAGCACTTTTGGAATCTGGGACTAAAAGTAAAATGAGTGTTAAAGTTTGGTAAAAATAAATAACAATACAGCTGTGTTTTAGGTACTACTACATTCTCTGGCTTCCTTCCCTCTCCTATCCCTTCCCCCTCCCCATTTCTGTGATGGTCAAGTCACCCTAGGCCAGCAGCCAATAATCTGGTGATAGGTAGCTAAATGCTTAGTTGTAACAATCTGTAAATGATTTAGTTCTTTAGTGCAGATGGGCTTTTACTGTCCTGACATTAATCTGATGGAAACAATTTTGCTTTATACTTTTTTTAAGCATATACAGGAGGCATCAAGATTTACACAACTGCTTTTAAAATGAAAAGGTCTTTACATGTTTTGTGAATTTAAATACAAACATGCAATCTGTTTCAATCCTCTCCCTTGAGGTGGCTGCTACTGTCTGTTACTGATAAATACTGTGTAGATAGTGCCCTCATCTGGCCATTCAAAATACTGCTTACAAAATTAAGGCAAGTATTGAGGAAAAATGACTAAGGTCATTTCACACAATTTTGCCAGTGCCAGATCTATTAATGTAATCTATTATCATTATAAAATCTTATACTAGGAAACACCTCAAGCTAGTAGTATTTTCAGTTCTGTGTGGATGCCCTCTGAATAGGGAATGCATATAAACTGCCACCAGAATACTCTCATTGGTGGTCTGATTTTTTTTCTTTTTTCTTTCAATGTTAATGATCTTGCTGGAGGAAGCAAGTATGGAAGTAGAGGGGAGCTAATGGTGCAACTTGTTTTCCCTCCCCACCAATCCAATAGATACCCCTATTCCACAGGCAAGAGACATGGAAGGAGGGGTGGGAGGTGGCTGAGCTCTGCCAGATAACCTACACCCATAAGCCAAAGAGCAAACCAAGCAATGCCCCCCCCCCCGCCTACGAGCCGGATCTGCTGGACGCAATGCCCCAGGACAGGTAGGGACTAGCCTGTCTTGGCTCCACAGCACTGCCAACCGGACTTTTGACGGTCCAGTCGGTGGTGCTGACCGGAGCTGCCAGGGTCCCTTTTCAACCAGGTGTTCCGGTCGAAAACTGGACACCTGGTCACCCTGTGTATCCAACTTCTTGGAATGTGTGACTGAACTAGTAAAATAAGATGAGAAATACCAGTTACAGGAGTTAACCTTAATTTATTAAAGAACAGCTAATGACATTTATAGATATCTTTATTAAAAGAGGGCAGTGATGTTTCTGTAGCCATTACATTGCTTTCAAGTTCCAATCTCAGATAATGGGTTTAAAAGGCCACCATTCACACACAGTAAAAATAAAATAAAATGGGAACATTCATAAAACACCATGCCCATCTTTTATAGCTCAGTGGTTTGAGCATTGGCCTGCTAAACCCAGGCTTGTGAGTTCAATCCTTGAGGGGGCCATTTGGGGATTTAGTTGGGGATTGGTCCTGTTTTGAGCAGGGGGTTGGACTAGATGACCTCCTGAGGTCCCTTCCAACCCTGATATTCTATGATACTAAAGCATATAATCAAAAACATTTCCATTGGGCTATAAACAGCAACAGAATATGCTCTTCAAAGGGCTGCCCCCGCAAAGAACAGACCATCCCCAACTCCCACTGAAAACTATGGTGTTTAGGGGGTACTCAGGACACTGTAGGATTGGTCTTCCTATAGCTACCATCTTTGATGTCTGTGTTCTCTAACTCTGGTATCAAATTTATAATTCTCCCTACAGGTTTTCCGTAAGGGAGCATTTATGCTTCAGTAAGTATGCAAGCAGTAATTTAATGTCCTCACTGCTTTACAATACTGAGAGCTAAATACAGTAAACCAATCCAAAATGAAAACCTTATGACTGACTCAATTCAAAGCAATGCATAATTAAAATGTTGTTTGTGGAGTGACTTAAAAATAGCCCAAAATTAATTTGAACTACATATATGGGAAAACATCCAACTTTGGAAATATCTTTTAAGTTAAATCTTTATCAAAAGATTTTTTTTCTATTTCTAGTTTATTTTCTTCCAGCCATGATCTTTAAATACTGTAATGCATTGTGAGCAGCATCGTTGTGAGCATTGCCCCAAGAAATCCCAGTACCATGGCAAACTGTGACTGGATTGGTTGAGAGTTCAGCAAGACATTGGTATTGTCCATTCACGCTCAGCTCTTCTGAAATTATATAAGCAAAAAAACGATTAGCTCAACATTATGCCTTGTATAAGTTACTGCACAAGTTCCCTTGTTACCCCCAAATTTTTCCAAGTGATGTGTATTAAAATCACGAATACAACCACACTGACTTTTAGTCACTTATTACACAGAATTAATTTCCAAAACACTTATGGATGGAAAGTTTATGAAGGATAAGGACAGAATGTTGACTATACTTTTGAATGATCCGTCCAGTTCTTTCTATTCCTGCTGTGCAGCATGTATAGTTATTTTGGTAATAATGTTGGAAAGAATGATTGGAAATATTATCAACTATGCAGGTGTCAAACTAACTTTTAGAATAGCAGCTGTGCTAGATACTTGTAAATTAGTTACTAGATATCACTAAAATGTGAACTAAGATTTTAATCACTCTTACCCTGCATTATCAAAGCTAACACTTTTGTACCATCATAATTTCTTATTAATCAGGACATCTCTATTTGGAGGGTTAAGAATAGTATGTACATTGGCAAGAGTCAGTATAGTCCAGACTGCATATACAGTAATTTTTTCATCTTATTGCAATAAAAAATGAGTGGTATTAACTACCATAAAAGATTGTATCTGCTTTTTCTAGTTGCAAGGTTGTGTCACAGCTCAAGTGGTGGTAACACAAGGGAGGAGGGAGAACATGAGATTTAAAGAGAGAAATAAGAATCAGAACACGAGAATGGAAGGGAAAATTTACAATTCCAGCTAGATTGACCAAACTTCTGAAATCATAGTAAGTGGGGACGTGGAAGTCTTTGGCTCTTATGTTCATAGCCATAAATAGGGCTTGCTGTTTGTCACTGAGGTCACGGAAGTCATGGATTCCGTGATTTTCCGCGATCTCCGTGACTTCTGCGGGGGCCAGTGTGGCTGACCCCCAAACATGTGGCTCCGGGGCCAGCTGGTCAGGTGGCCCCAGGGACAGCCACCCCAGTTGCTGCTGGAGTGGCCCCACAGCCAGCTGCACCAGCTGCTGCGGCACCGGCCACTGCTCAGGTGGCCCCGAGCAGCTAGCCCCGGGGACTGCCCAAGTAGCGGCCGGAGCGGCTGGCCCCAGAGACCGCCTGAGCAGCGGTCCCTGGGTGGCTGGTGCAGCTGCTGCTGGCAGCCCCTGGTGGTAGCCCCAGGCGGCCTGAGTAGCTGCTTCCCTGGGCAGCCCCCGGCAGCGGCGCCCTGGCAGCCAGTGCAGCTGCTGCTGGAGGCGGTGCCCAGCCAGTCGCTACAGCCGCTTCCCTGGGTGGCCCCTGGCAGTGGTGCCTGGGCAGCCAGAATAGCCGCTTCCCCGGGCAGCCCCAGGTAGCGGTGCCCGGGCAGCTGGTGCAGTTACTGCCCCTCCAGATGCCCCCTGCCCCTGCAGCAGTCCTGGTGCCCCCCAGCAGTGACCCCCTTAAGATTTAGTCACGGGTATTTTTAGTAAAAATCATGGACAGGTCATGGGCCCATGAATTTTTGACCTGTCCATGACTATTTACTAAAAATACCCGTGACTACATTGTAGCCTTAACCATAAATAATGGCTAAAATTTAGGCTTGGATGCCTCTGTAGTTATAATAATTTAGGCTCCAATCAGACTCATGTGGGCAAACCATGACTTCAGTGGAGCTGCATGTGAGTGTAGCCTCCACCCACATATATCAATTGCAGGTTTAGAGCCTTAAGGCAAAGTTTTCCTTATGCTATATGAGCAGAGCTCCCATTTAACATCACTGCATGTTTTGCTTAAGTGTGGATCAGAGAGGAGGAATGTATCATTCATGTATTACAATACTAACACACCAAAAGTCATACCTATATTCAAATATGTTATAACAAAACCTTGTTCTTCTGCAACTTCTCCAAGCAGTTGGACATAGTCTGTATTAGGAATACTGAGTGGACTTCTCTTCAGCAAGGTAATTTTTTCTTCTGATGAGTTCCTTAAGGCATCCCATGTGCATCCTAAATTATTTCCCACTTCATTTCCCTGAAAACATTTGAAGAGGGTTTAGATTTGTTTTTACATATTAATAAAATGCTGTTCAACAAAAATATCATGCAATATTCACTTTTATCTGCAAAAACACAGAAAATGCAAACTTCCACACAGCACCTTTATATAGTGTCTCAGTGAGTTCCAGCTTTTCTGTTCAACTGCCCCAGTGATGGAATGGTGCCTGGCTGCCCACTACCCTATTCCTTATGCTATGCTTTGGCCTGATTACAACTCTCTTACTTTCTGCCTGTGTTCTCCCTGTCTCTCATTCTTTATTTTTAATTTCCCCCCCATATTTGCTCCTCTTCTCCTCACAACCACAGTTGGTGCCTTCTCCCTCTTTTCATCCAACCTCAATTCTCCACTCCTTTTAAACTGGTCTGGCCCTGTGTTCTATGCCTCTTGCATGGCTGCTTCCTCCACAGTGCCTGTTACAAGAGAGTGTGCAGACAATACTGTTGAATGAAGTGATGTGTATTGCTGCTTGGGGAAAGCAAAGCATATGCAGCTGCCAGCAGTGGCTGCCTGATGGCCTCTTTGATACCCTAGATATGCCATGCAAATTTAGTGTGAACAAACCTAGTATATCCCAGAAGGTACACTTTAATAGGCCATCATGTCTTGTATTTTTATTATGTTTCCCAATCACTTAATTAGGCAAATACTTATATTTCACCAGCATGCGTTGTCTGTGTCAAGGTATTATACTTTATTATTGTAGTAAGCAAACAGATTCTAAAACACTAATCAATTATTTTACTTTTTGCACTTTATTCCCCCTCTCCCACTTTTTTGGATCCCTGCTCCCAGAACTCCCTTATGTTACTGGTCAAATAAAAATTATCCCCGTTTGATACCCTCATTTGACATTATGACAAAGGATATCTACATATAACAAAGCTCTTTTCCTCCCTCCTCTGTGTTCCATTCCTTCCCTATGTTTTATTTAAATAGGAGGATGGGTTATTTGAAGCCAATTAATAAGAATAGCACAGAGAAAAATCCTACTTTTAATGGTGTCTGTCCTTATATAGTCTTTCACCAATGTCATACTAATAATCTGATGCAAATTTGGATGATAGCCCAGAGCTTTTGGGTCCATCTAGAAATAGGAACATGGTATAAAACTTTGTGATAATGAAAATGTCTGACCATATTTTGTTAGTTTTGTCATTGAATTGTCTGACAGGATTTATGGCACTTATGCTGCTCTGCCCATTACTTACTAAGGAAATATTGATGCTATCTGGAGGGAAACTGTGGAATTTGGCAAGTAATTTTTCAGCAGCATTTCGCTTTGCTAGTTTCTTAGATGTCCCAGTCCCTGCATAAAGAAACAAAACCAAAGAGTATTAACAAGAGAAAAATGCACTGAGGTGAACTTAGTGGCTCAGAGGACTGATAATTCATCTGTAGGTTGCTGGTTCAAATTTACCACAAACAGTAAGAAATAAGTTGTTACTATCTGACTGCTGTTTGAAGGCTTATGTGAAATAAACTGACTTCAATCCTGTTGCTAGTGGACTAGCATTGGGGGCACATTGCTGCAACACTGAGTTCCTGAATTACTACAGCTTGTTGATTATTCAATCTGTAGATAAGCAGAATTTGGTCTTTAGATGTGTTTGGGTTCCACAAATAGATTCATTATTATAAAACATTTAAAATAATATCTTGACACAAACACTCTTGCAGCTTACTCTTACTCACATTTTCCTTCTTTTGAAAGAATTGTAATACAACTGAAAGGTACTTCGTTAAAAGAACTGAAGCCTTCTATTTGTACTCAGAACAAGCAGAAGATGTGAAATTGTGCAAGTTCTCACATTGTTCTTCCAGAATAACTCAGTTCTAAACTGAATGGATCACCTCCTGTAGTGAAAGAACACTTCAGTCTATAAATCCAGTTAATCCTGGGATACTCTGCTAAGACTGCCAATATTGGTGCTAGTTAATAATTGCAATGGTAATGGTTTTGTGATGGAGGACACCTGTTCACTAAGAACTAGACTAAAATCAACTCACTTCATGTAGACCACCAAAGAGACATCAGATAGCAACATTTTAATCATTAGCCACCTGTTTTGGGGTTAAATGGGTGACCCAAATCATTGAGCAATCCACCTGACTTGAATTCAACCTGCAAGTCTCCCTGTAAATGCAATATTGTTAACCACTGATGGTTACAGGTATTCAGAGTTCCTAGAGAATTTGTCTGATCTAGTCTTATGAAGTACACTAAGGAAACAGGGTTTGGAATGTATTTTATAGTGATTTAAAGAGCGGGATTCTCCCATAGACTCCATTACAAGTAAGTAAACCTCCAATTTCTCAGCTGTACGAAAACGCATTAAGCATTTAAAAACTTAGGGCCAGATGGTTATTTGCCTCTATCATTACTACTGAGCTTCAAAGCTGGAGGTTAATACCTGTTCTGAGGAGGAAGATTTAGGACTCTTCTACACTACCCGCCGGGTCGGCAGGCAGCGATCAATCCAGCGGGGGTTGATTTATCACGTCTAGTATAGATGCAATAAATCGACCGCTAAGCGCTCTCCCATTGACTCCGGTACTCCACCAGAACGAGAAGTGCAAGCGGAGTTGATGGGAGAGAGTCAGCTGTTGACTTACCGCAGTGAAGACACCGCGGTAAGTAGATCTAAGTTCGTTGATTTCAGCTATGCTATTCACGTAGCTGAAGTTGCATATCTTAGATTTACCCCGCGCGGTAGTGTAGACAAGCCCACCGTGTCTTGCACGAAGTATTTCATACTGCTGCTTCTCCTCACCAATCCCTTTCCATAACTTCTCAAAACCTAAATTCTAGATCAGAATGTCACTAAGCACAACCAGGGAGTCCTCCCCTCCACCAAAAAATTCCAAAACAATCTAATATGAGGATGGGTTATTTGCAGCTAACCAAATGCTGATCACTAGGTTGGAAAGGCTGGTCAAGAATCACTTTTGTGCAAATTCTATACTTGTAACTCTAGAGTTTACAAGGGAGTAAGTGCCAATGCAAAATTTTTGCAGGTTATCCAACATACACAATGCATGAATGTCATTAATCAAATACTTGTTTAAATAAAACTACTGTGTATTTGCATAGTCTGTTGCTTACTTCAAATGGAATATTTTACTTCAGTACACTGTGGAGGTATCATTCAACAACTTTTATTGCATTGAGAAATGTTTTAGATGCAACATTTCAATAGCTTGATTAAAAGTCTTAGGTGCAAACGCTATTTAGGATATCTGTGCAATGTATTCACACATTCTCTTGCCAATTTTGAGGTAATAGGACAGAACTGTCATGCAGAATATCACTTATCCTAATATTTAAAAGCACTGCAAGTCTGCATTTTAAAATTTAACACCATAACTTCCAGCATTTTCAAGTTAAATAATGGAACACTTTTTAAAATGGTCTCTTCCTTAATGTTAGGGAACTGAAAATGTATCCTCACTGTCCAAACGCTAATAACAAATATTTTAAGTGTGCCAATGATGCATTTTGTATGTCATGAATCTGCTTTAAAAAAGAACCAAAAAAGGTACAATATTAAGATTTTTAAATAAAGCGGGAGGCGGGGGGGAGAGAAACACTCACAATTCATTGGAGACTGCTATGGAAACTGACCACATTCTAAATTTGCTACATTTTGTGTTGATTTAAAAAAATATATATATATACCAGTTTCTACAAATGTTTCTATTCTGCAAGTCATTGTAAACTCCCGCTTGTGAGGAGGCCCCGACTCATGCGCAAGTGAATATTCAGGAAGTCTCCATCCCTTCTGAACAGCCAGTTCCTAAAGAAACAGAGGTTAGACCTGACTAATAAAAAAGATTCTGCTTTGGTCTGTCTCTAAACATCCCTTTCAAACAGCTACCATCTTTGCTTAGCAAAATTCATTGGTCCATTTTTTAAAACACATTTACCACCATAACACTGAAAATATTTCAGTAATAGCTTGAAGAGCACAATATATTGATGTGGGAAAACACAAGGATATAAGTTACCTAAAATGACACATTTACCAGAAGTCAAAGTAGAGATGGGGACAAACAGGAAAAAACTGTTCTGGTATTTGCAAATACTAGTAGCACATATAAAAGCCCTCCAAACACTAGTAAGTTACATTTTAAAGAGCTGTGTTAGCCTAAAACCCTATCTAAAAATGAAAGGCCATAGGGTGGTTTTGCAGGGTGTTGATCCTGAGCCCTCACTCTTCAGGCTGGCAAGGTTTGGAGTGCCATGTAAGAGAGAGGGACCTGGTCCTGTTCAGAAAAGTTAAAAACCAGCTTCAATCTCAGCTGTTTAGTCAAACTTGAAACTTTAAGCCTTGAATAAGTGCCAATTCCTCCTTTAATTGTTCGAAGCTATTAAATTCAATTCTTTTGATTTTTCATATTTTTAATATGACTATCCAAATTATAGTACCAACTGGCAAGGCCAGCCTGCTTAAAACAAAGAATCAATTAACAAAACTAGTGACAGTGAACATATCACATCATGCAATACTGTACCCACAGCATTAAAATAAAAACATAGTAGAAAAAACACAATCCTATTCTTGTTGTGAGTTTTTCTTTTTGACCTCGTAGTGAGACATGCCTTTCAACTAAAGTTTCTATGTTCTATTTCTTGAAGAGCAGAATGGTACATACACTCTCACATCCCTTTCATCTCCTTTAAAATATTCAGTTTAAGAGAGAGAAACACCTTGACTATATTTATTTAAGTTTTTAAAAGCAATGGTCAAGAAATGTGGCTTCAAGGACTTATTCATTAATGAAAACTGTTGTTAAGGGAAGTCTTAACCTAAGCTTTCTGTACCATCTACCTTAAATATGTCTCTGGAAAAAAATTAAACAAGAAGCAGCCAAATCTCATGTCCAGCAAGAGATTTTCAGTTTTTGATTCTTACTTACAACTAGTCATTTGTGAACCATGAGATTCTTCAGAGCCATGCAAGTAAACTTAGGTCAAAACACTGCAAATAGTTTCCTTTAATATGAAGCCCCCTCAAAGTCAATGGGACTACTTGTGCTTAAAGCACATGCAAAACTGTCTTCAGGGTTGGGTGTCTGGGCTCAATCCACAAGGTACTGAGCACTCTAGCCCCAATCCAGCAAGGCATATGTGGCTGAGTGCTTCCCTGGATTGGAGGCAGAGTGCACAGCACTTTGTGTTTAGACCTCAAGGGTTCATCCTACAGTGTTAAACTTTAGCACTTAATGCATATGTGTATTAACTGCGATACTAAATGTTTCATATGAAAATGTCAAACAAAGCAGACATGAAACATTATTTAAAGGGGCAGATTTCTGTACATAATATTCTGTTCCTCTTCTTCCATAAACACTCTAAATTTCAGAAATACAGAACACCTTAAATTCATCAAAACACATTAAAAATAATCCTCTAAATATGTTGACTATGGGTCTCCAATTTCAACCAGCTTTGTGAACATTTTAAAGAAAATCTTATAGCATAGGAAGCCAAATTTTCATGTCTGTTCACACTATGGTTTAATTTTGACAGTATTAACTGGACTTAAACATAATTATAATAGTAAAGTTAGTTGCATACACATTTCATATTCTCACTACAGCTGGCTCTCTACATGCTTTCCCCGCAGTGAACACAATTAGTGTTTGCTCTTTTCTGACCTGTACTACTTGCTCTGGGCTTTCTATGCTGCCTTCTGTAACTAAAAAAAAAAAAAAGTAAGAAAGATATGTTCAAATGAGTTCAAAAAGTAGCTGCTAGTTTAGTGTAAATAATGCCTGACAAGTCTAAGAACAAGAATAGATTTTAAATTCAGTCTTATCCAATATTCATTTTTTTTAAGGAATATTTTACACACAGCTGAACTATATGGCATGATGGTCTTAAAATGCAAAAAAGTTACATCTTACCTGTAATGTACCTATAGGATTGGTTTGATTTTGTGGTTGCTTTGGAGAATCTGGAACTATGGAGTCTGGCACTGAAAGACTAAAATAGTTTAACTTTTTTTTTTTTTTTAAACTGACAATTTTAAGTTAAAACTGCTGAAGAGGGACATAAATTAGGCACTAATCCATTAATAACCTAGGGCCTCAGTCCTCAAAACTCTAATGCATACACTTAATTTTACACATGTGAGTAGTCCCATTAAAATCTTGGCATGATTAGTGTCCAAGGCTAAATCTCCATCTTCTCAGGTGTGGAAAACATTATATCGTAATTATTTGAGATTTAAAATTTTAGAGCCAGACACACCTGATATTAATGTGTCCCCTGGCAACTTGTGGATATTTATTTTTAAACATGTCTCTTTCTCTCCTCCATGGCAGGGGTGGGGGGGCAGAGGTGGGGAATCACACAAACAGCAGATTGACCGGTTATACAGAGAAAATAGTAAAAACTGAATATATATAGGAGGTGCCTTCAATTATTATTATACTATCTTTAACAAATTTACATGATTAATGTTTTTGGATGAAAAGCCACCTGTATAACAGCTTCAAATTACACAGTACACCATCTTGCAACAGAAGTAGCATCTGAAAAAAAGACATTAGTCCCATTTCATCTTAGACAGTTTCACTAGGAAAAGAATGAAATACAAGAATCCAGATTACAGAAAAAGTAACATTATAAAGTTTGAGAGAGTGTCAGTTTTTAGAATTAAATTAGAAAAAACTTTCCTCAAAAAGAAACGGAAGTCTTCCAACTGCTGAAAAGACGGTTACTCACCGTTGTAACTGTTGTTCTTCGAGATGTGTTGCTCATATCCATTCCAGTTAGGTGTGTGCGCGCCGCGTGCACGATCGTCGGAAGATTTTTACCCTAGCAACACCCGGTGGGTCGGCTGTGGAGCCCCCTAGAGTGGCGCCGTTATGGCGCTGGATATATACCCCAGCCGACCCAGCGCCCCCTCAGTTCCTTCTTGCCAGCTACTCCGACAGTGGGGAAGGGGGGCGGGTTTGGAATGGATATGAGCAACACATCTCGAAGAACAACAGTTACAACGGTGAGTAACCGTCTTTTCTTCTTTGAGTGCTTGCTCATATCCATTCCAGTTAGGTGACTCCCAAGCCCCACCTAGGTGGCGGGGTCGGAGTGAGACATTGCTGTGTGCAGAACCGCTGACCCGAAAGCAGCGTCGTCTCTGGATTGTTGCACCAGCGCATAGTGAGTAGCAAATGTGTGGACCGATGACCACACTGCAGCTTTACAAATGTCCTGGATTGGTACTTGAGCCAGAAAGGCAGTCGAGGAGGCCTGGGCCCTCGTGGAATGAGCGGTGAGGCGTGGCGTCGGTACACCGGCCAGGTCGTAGCAAGCACGAATACAGGACGTGATCCAAGTGGACAGGCACTGTGAAGAAACCGGTGAGCCTTTCATCCGGTCGGCCACCGCAACGAAGAGTTGCGTCGTCTTCCTAAATGGCTTTGTACGGTCAATATAGAAAGCCAGGGCCCTGCGTACGTCCAAAGAGTGTAAACGCTGGTCTTGACGAGTAGCGTGCGGTTTCGGATGGAAGACCGGGAGGAAAATATCCTGGTTCACGTGGAAAGGTGACACCACCTTTGGCAGAAAGGCAGGATGGGGGCGAAGCTGCACCTTGTCCTTATGGAACACCGTGTATGGGGGCTCGGATGTCAGCGCCCTGAGTTCCGAGACGCGCCGTGCTGAGGTGATGGCTACCAGGAAGGCTGTCTTCCAAGATAAGTACAGGAGCGAGCAGGTAGCCAATGGTTCAAACGGAGGCCCTGTGAGCCTGGAGAGGACGAGGTTGAGGTCCCACGTTGGAACCGGCTGTCGCTGCTGTGGGTATAGCCGGTCTAAGCCCTTGAGGAATCTAACGACCATCGGGTTCGAGAAGACCGAGGACGTGAGTTCCCCTGGGTGGAAAGCGGAAATAGCGGCGAGGTGAACCCTAATTGAGGATGTCGCCAAGCCTTGCTGTCTGAGGGACAGGAGGTATTCCAGTATCAAGGGGATAGGAGCCTGCGAGGGAGACGTAGCTCGTTGCTCACACCAGCAGGAGAACCTCTTCCACTTGGCTAAATAAGTGGTCCGCGTAGAGGGCTTTCTACTTCCCAGCAGGACCTGTTGGACGGCCTGCGAGCATTGCCGCTCTGAGCGACTCAACCATGAAGCATCCACGCCGTGAGGTGGAGCGACTGCAGGTCGGGGTGACACAGCCGGCCGTGGTCCTGAGAGATGAGATCCGGACTCAAGGGGAGCGTGATCGGCCTCTGTACTGACAGCTCTAGAAGTGTGGTGTACCAGTGCTGTCTCGGCCAAGCAGGAGCGACTAGAATTACCCGTGCATGGTCCCTGCGGATCTTGAGCAGCACCCTGTGGACCAGCGGGAATGGGGGAAAGGCGTAGAACAGATGGTCTTTCCATGCCATGAGGAAGGCGTCCGACCGAGAGCCCGGGGCTCGCCCGTGTAGGGAGCAGAATGCCTGGCACTTCCTGTTGGCCCGAGATGCGAACAGGTCGATCTGGGGAAACCCCCACCTCTGGAAGACGGAATAGATGATGTCCGGGCGAATCGACCACTCGTGCGTTTGGAAGGACCTGCTGAGACGGTCCGCCAGCGTATTCTGGACTCCAGGCAGGAATGACGCCGTGAGATGTATCGAGTGGGCGATGCAAAAGTCCCACAGGCGAATGGCCTCTTGGCATAGGGGAGATGAGCGGGCTCCGCCTTGCTTGTTGATGTAAAACATGGCCGTGGTGTTGTCGGTGAGAATCAGCACGCAACGGCCCTGTAGGAAGTTGAGGAAAGCCTGACAAGCCAGGCGCACTGCCATCAGCTCTCGGACGTTGATGTGCAGGGCTAGTTGGGATGCCGACCACAGGCCTTGGGTATGATGCTCCCCCAGGTGAGCGCCCCATCCTAGAGATGAAGCGTCCGTAACTAGGTGGAGGGAGGGCTGTGGGGCGTGAAAGGGTACTCCTGCACAGACCGCCGTGCGATCCGTCCACCATGTGAGGGAGGCCAAGACTGCGGTCGGAACCGTGACCACCATGCTCAGGTCGTCTCGATGAGGACGGTAAACCGATAACACCCAAGTCTGCAATGGGCGAAGTCGCAGCCTGGCGTGCCTGGTTACGTAGGTGCACGAGGCCATGTGGCCCAAGAGGGCAAGGCATGCCCTTATGGTGGTAGTTGGAAAGGCCCTGAGTCCTTGAATGACGCTTGAGATGGTATGAAAGCGGCTGTCTGGCAGGATGGCTCGGGCATGTCTGGAGTCCAGGATTGCTCCAATGAACTCTATTCTTTGAGTTGGCACTAGAGTGGACTTCTCTTTGTTGAGTAGAATGCCCAGCTCGTGGAAAGTGCGTGTCACTATGTGGACATGGGCCTGCACTTGGTCTCTGGTGAGGCCGCGTACCAGCCAGTCGTCCAAGTACGGGAACAGCTGTATCCCTTGTCGACGAAGGAAGGCCGCGACGACTGCCAGGCACTTTGTGAAGACCCTGGGAGCCGAGGACAAGCCGAAGGGAAGGACTGCGAATTGGTAGTGTACCCTGTTTACCACGAATCGCAGGAAACGTCTGTGGGGCGGATAAATTGCTATGTGAAAGTAAGCGTCCTTCATGTCGAGGGCGGCGAACCAGTCTCCAGGATCCAGTGAAGGGATAATGGTCCCCAATGACACCATGCGGAACTTCAACTTTACTATGAATTTGTTGAGTCCGCGTAAGTCTAAGATGGGCCGTAGACCCCCTTTTGACTTGGGTATCAGGAAGTAGCGGGAGTAAAACCCCCTGCCCCTTAGCTCCGAAGGAACCTCCTCTATGGCCCCCATAGCGAGGAGCCCAAAAACCTCCTGTGTAAGGAGTTGCTCGTGAGAAGGGTCCCTGAAGAGGGACGGGGAGGGGGAGTGGGATGGGGGGGGCGAGGAAAACTGGAGGGCGTATCCCCTCTCCACCGTGCGAAGGACACAACGGTCCGAGGTTATACGGGACCAAGCACGGTGGAAACGGGAGAGGCGATCCCGGAAGGGGGGAACCGGATCCTGGAAAGTGGCTAAGGTGCCGTCCTCGACCGCACCTTCAAAAGGCTTGCCTAGGCCCCGAAGGTGGCCTAGGTTGGCCCTGGTTCTGACCGGGTTGAGGGCCGGTCGACCTTCGCCTACCACCTCGACCCCGCCTCCTAGCAAAGTCCTGTCTTGGACGAGGCGGGGGAGGGTAGAACCGCTGAGGCTGTGGCCTGAAGGGCCTGCGCTGAGGCCCTGGGACATGCATCCCCAGGGAGCGCATCATTGTTCGAGAGTCCTTAAGGTTTTGGAGCCTCGAGTCTGTTTTCTCTGAAAAGAGGCCCTGTCCCTCGAACGGTAGGTCCTGCAGGGTCTGCTGCAGTTCCGGAGGCAAGCCCGACACCTGGAGCCAGGAGATTCGGCGCATTGCTATCCCCGAAGCCAGGGTCCTAGCGGCCGAGTCCGCTATATCAAGGGACGCCTGTAGGGAGGTGCATGCCACCCGCTTGCCCTCCTCTACCAGGGCCCCAAACTCGTCCCTCGAGTCCTGGGGAACCAGTTCTTTAAATTTCCCCATCGAGGACCACATATTGAAGCCATAGCGGCTCAGTAGTGCCTGCTGGTTCGCTGCCCGCAATTGCAGTCCGCCAGCCGAATACACCTTGCGTCCAAACAAATCGAAGCGCTTAGCGTCCTTCGATTTGGGCGCAGCGGCCTGCTGGCCATGGCGCTCCCGTGCATTCACTGAGGAAACCACCAGTGAGCACGGTTGGGGGTGAATGTACAGATACTCATGTTCCCTGGATGGGACAAAGTATTTTCTCTCAACCCCTCTGGCCGTGGGCGGAATAGAGGCCGGGGTCTGCCAGATAGTAGTGGCGTTGGCCTGGATGGTGCGGACCAGCGGTAATGCCACCCTGGATGGAGCATCCGCTGAGATGATCTGCACTATCGGGTCATGGACCTCCGCAACCTCCTCCACCTGGAGGTCCAGATTGCGAGCCATGCGCCGCAGTAGGTCCTGATGGGCCCGAAGGTCTATCGGGGGCGGCCCGATGGACGACGTGCCCGCTACGGCCTCATCAGGAGAGGACGAGGAAGATGCCCCCGGTGGCAAGGGGTCCAATGGTTGGTCCTGCTCCAGGTGTTCCTGGTGTTGGGCATCCCCTGCCCCCTGGTCAGGGGCCTCTGCAGGTGCGGGCACTGGAGCCTCCACGTCCCTTGGAGGAGGGCGGGAGATGGTAGACTCTGGGGCCCTGGTGTCCGAACGGCCAGAGCGGGAAGCCGACAGGGGAGCTCCTTGAGCTTGGTGGTAGGCCCAAGGAGTCCAAAAGGACCAATGCGCAGGCCCTTGCATCGGGTCCTCGGTCTCCTGCAGGTGGCCGGGCTCCACCGTCTCAGATGACCGGGACGCCGATCTCGACGGCCACGGCGGTGCCGAACCCGATGCCGTCGGCACCGGATGGTACGGTGCCGATCGGTGCCGACCGTAAGGGGACCTGTCCCTGCGTTGTTCCGGCGAACGGTGCCGGGACCTGGACCGGTGCCGATAGTCCCTCCGGTGCCGGGATCCCGATCTGGAACGTGACGACGATCTGGAGGAGGCGTGGTACCGGGAGCGGCCTCTCGAGCCCGAGTGGCGCTCATACCGGTGCCGGGAGCTGCGCCTCGACCCCGATCGGTGCTGGTCGTCACGGCGGTGCCGGGATGTTGAACGGCGCCGCGAGGAAGATCTGGGCCGCGAGTACGACCGGTGCCGAGGTGACCCTCGGCGCCGGGACTCCGAGCGGCGTCGGGACCTGCTTCGGGATCTGGAGCGGTGCCGAGAGACTCGTGCTGGCGACGGTGGGCGCACCAGGGCAGGCTTGCCTCTGGACTGCAGCACGCGTGGAGCCACCGGTGCCGGGAGTTGCGACGGCGCCGGCTCCGTGAGGGCGATCAGGTCTCTCGCCGTAGCAAAGGTCTCCGGGGTGGAAGGGAGACAAGGTTCCACCACCAGCCTTGGTGGTGAAACAGTCCGCACCGGACTCAACGGCCTCGGTGCCGGAGTCGACGGTGTGGCCGCCTGTCTTTGGCGGTCCAGCTGCGGACGCGGCTCTACCCCCGGCACCGGGGGAGCCGGTACCTTCGCGGCAACAACGTCCCGTGTCTTAGCGGTCTTCTTATGGCCCGGAGAGATGGATCGGTGCCGAGGCTCTTTGGGCGGGCGCGGTGCCGACGTCGGTCGGTGCCGAACAGTCTTTTCTGCCGCACCGGTCGAGCCCGCCGGGGCGCTGCGCACCGAAGCGCTCGGTGCCGGGACAGGGCGCGCCGAGGGAGGATCTGGACTCAGAGCCGCCTCCATGAGGAGCTGTCGGAGCCTAAAGTCCCGCTCCTTCCTTGTCCTTGGCTTGAAGGCCTTGCAGATAGGGCACTTATCTGCTGGATGAGTCTCTCCCAGGCACTTCAAGCAGGAGCTATGCGGGTCGCTAGTTGGCATGTGCTTCCCGCAGGACGCGCACGGCTTAAAGCCAGGAGCCTTGGGCATGGGCCCGGCTGCGCGCCGGGGGGAAAAGGGGAAAAACACCCCCTAAACCCCCGATAACAACTTACAACTATATATATATATACACTATAACTAACTACTAACTAACTTGAACAACTATCTATATAACTAAATACAACAAGAACAATGAAAGCTAGGGAGTGTGGAGATCAGCTAAGCCGCGCTCCACAGTTCCAACGACCGTCAGGGGCGGTAAGAAGGAACTGAGGGGGCGCTGGGTCGGCTGGGGTATATATCCAGCGCCATAACGGCGCCACTCTAGGGGGCTCCACAGCCGACCCACCGGGTGTTGCTAGGGTAAAAATCTTCCGACGATCGTGCACGCGGCGCGCACACACCTAACTGGAATGGATATGAGCAAGCACTCGAAGAACTGATAGTTTGGGGTTTTTTGGGGGCGGGATTGGTGTTCAGAGCTTCTTTTAATGCCATATTTAGATCGACAGTGACATTTTGTGCAGTACAATACAGCCACACCTAACTCACCCAATACTTGGATTTCCTTTCAAAACGTTCAAGGCAGCTTCTGCAGCTCTGTGTTTTGCAATCTTCTTGCTATGACCTTCACCTGTATTAAAACAGACAATCTGATATTCCTAAAGCGTGACTAATGACGACCTTGTTAAATTGTAATAACAGCCCTGTCTGGAATCTCTATAGCATTATGTTATGCAGCCCCACCCCGACATGCTCCCTCTTGCCCTTACATTGGGGTTTGAGATGGGGTTCTCAGAAGGCAGGCTTGGGTGGCTTTCTCTATAGTGCCTTTGCTGAGGGAATCTACGGTGGGTTATATAGTAGCAGAGGAAGACGTGGGGGCATAAAGAGCAGAATTCTATATAACCAAAATAGAACACTCCTCCAGAATCTGGAATTGAACCCAGAAGTCCTGAGTCTCTGTATCCCTCTGTTGTCAGCAAACACATAGCTCTGAAAACCACTGGCACAGTGTTTTTCATCTCCCCCTAGTGGTAGTTCACGGAGAATAACAGCATACAGTATTACTATCAGTTGCTGCATTACCTCAAGTACTGTAGTCTGAACCCTGCTGATGAACTATGTTCTATGTTATAGAATGTCTTAAGTCTTTAAAAAAAACAACACACACCTCATCTATGACATCCCAAGAAACTATACTTAAACTTTAAGGTTGCAAAGCCAAGTATGCAAAAGTCAGGAAACACCAGGCTTAAGGTAGCTTGTGCATCCTTAATTCAGCGATCATGTGCATATGCATTATCATATGCACATGATCACACTTTTTTCCCACCCCCTGCCCCCACAGAAACCCTGCCTCATTCAGTGCACTGCATGGATCTGCATGGGGGATGAATTAGGGCTGTGTAATAATGGAGGCTGTTCATAGCAGAAGCTGGAAAGTGCGTACCTATTGTGATTGTTGGGAGATGGCAGACCTAAGCCTGCCCTCAGCTAAAGGCCCTGCCCCTTAGCCGGCGGCGGGGGAAACCAGTGAACCTGGGACCCAAGTGAATACTGGGGACAACAAATGAAAAAACAGGGATGGGAGTGAAGGTCAAAGAGTGAAAATCAGGGAACTGGATGGGGACACTGAGAAGATAACCCCAGACAGTGCCCACTGCTCCTCAAAGGCATCTAAGGAATCAGTGGACACTGCGCCCAGAGCAGTGGCTCTCAACCTTTCCAGACTACTGTATCCCTTTCAGGAGTCTGATTTGTCTTGTGTACCCCAAGTGTCACCTCACTTAAACACTACTTGCTTACAAAAATCAGACATCAAAATACAAAAGTGTCACAGCACACCATTACTGAAAAATTGCTAGTGCTTTTTATGTAGCCTGTTGTAAAACTAGGCAAATATCTAGATGAGTTGATGTACCCCCTGGAAGACCTCTGTGTACCCCAGGTTTAGAACCACTGGCCCAGAGGAACTCTGCCTGGAGATATGACTTCGCAAGGGATTGGAAATAGGCCCTACAGTTGCAGACCCCTGCCCAGCTTCTTCCTCCTGGTATGATGGATGGCAGTATTGCCAGCACCAGGAGGTTGATAAGGAGGTTTTGCAACTTTGCGGGGCCATGGATGGGGTGTGCAAGGATCAGGAGGTGTGAGGAAAAGTGCAGCCAGAACCTCTGTAACAGGTTCTGGAGGAGCCAGGAGAGGGGCTGCAAACTGACACACTGTACATAGGTGTGTGCCAGGATCTCCCACTCACTGCAGACAGGACAGGTGTTGGGGGAGTTCATGAACTGCACCAGCTACATGCCCATGCTTATGGCTTCATGGAGGAGCCACTGTAGGAGCTGGATTTTATAATGTACTATGAGAATTAATGTATGATTTGATTTCATCTTGTCAGCCACCCTTTTTGAATAGCAGAAAGGAATGACAGACCAGAACAATCCTTATGACTAATTATGGTCATCCTTTTGTTTTAGAATAAGTTATAAAGCTACTATGGTTTCCTATATGTATTACAAATTAGGAAGTAAGAGACAGGATTCTCTATTGTGTCTATGTTAAGTAGATTAGAGGAACATTGAAGGCCTGGGTCTCAATGTAAATTGTCTTGGTTATTGATTGTAAAACTTAGCAAGGTTTAATTTGCAATGCCCTTTTGCTCAATATAAAATACTACTGTTTGTATTCTCAAACTGTTTGTGTGAATGAGGAATGTATGCATCAGGAAAAGATAAGGTGTGAAGGCCATTGTTATAGCCAGAGTCAAGGAAGGAGGAGTGAAGAAATTTAAAGAACATCAAAGAATCATCAACGCGCATCCATAATGAAGGGCAGATTGACGACCCTGAGGTAAAGGCTGGCACCCCTAAAGACAATTGATTAAATCGGGAACAAAGGACAGGATGACCCTCTCGGAGGTGTATTGGAATGTTTACACCAATTAAGAAGTAACCGGTCACAAAGTGACACAGCAAAATCCATAGGCTTCAACAGAGAAGAAAACCTATAAGAACAGGGTGCTTTGCCATAGGACTTTGGGTTCGTCTTGCCACACTCCAGGAGCATCGGATCGCGACCGATAGAACCCCGCTCCCCTCTGCGACCAATCTGGCTGGCCACTAGATTGATCCAGACTCTGGACTGGTAACTATAAACGTCACTGCAGGAGAGTGAGAGTGAGTGAGTGAGTGAGTGAGTGAGTGAGTGTGTGTGTGTGTGTGTGTGTGTGTGTGTGTGTGTGTGTCTAAAAAGCATATGCTAACTGTGGTATTCTCAATAAATGCTGTGTATTTACCTTCCTCGATAAAGATCCCGTGTGCTTTGTATAAGCATAACACCACCAACTGATATTTCTGGTGGGCCATGAACCAGACTGGAATATATTCTGGACCACTAGGTTACCTCCCCTCCTCAGGTGGCAGCAGGTCCCACCACTTAGTGTCGGGGAGGTGGGCTGGGGGGGAGACACAAGGGCGATGAAGTGGATAGTATGAAACACAAGTGCATACAGATGTTTCCTTGGTGGTTTGGAGGTGATACAGATGGATGTCATTCAGCCAGCTCAGGCTGGGTGTTGGGGGTGGCTGGGAAGCTCATGGGGCAGGGGTCCAATGTCTAATTCTGGAGGGCCAGTGGTGAGCAGTGGGTGGAGAGCACCTACCTACAGGACCCATTCCAGGAAAGAGAGAGAGAAGTGGGAGGCAAGGCTGCCCTCACCTCCTGGAGTATATGACTGAGGACACACAGGGTAGACAACCCCTGGCTGGCTGAGCACACTGGGGTCCACTCAGTCCCTCTGATGATAGTCTAGGTGGTCTCTCATTCTGGTGGCACCAACCTCCTGGAAATTGTGTAGTGAATGAAGCAGGGGACTGCAAGAAGAGAGAGGATGTTCTCCTGGTTATTCATGTTGAATGCCATCCCAGAGAACTAGATTCTATTCCGGCTCTCACACTATTCCTTCAGGCTGCTGGGCAAGTCACTTAAACTAAAATTTTCCGAAGGGAGCCACTAATTGTATGTTCCTCATTTTTGAGTGCTCAACCTGAGACTCCTGGGGGTGGATCTGCAGAAGTGCTGAGCACTCACAACTGAAGTCAATAGGGACTGTGCTTTGAATATACGAAGTGTCAAAAATGCTAAGTGCTCTGAAATATCAGGCCTTAGACATCTCAAGTTGACCATCCAAAATTAGTGGACGCTCTTGTAATCTTGACCTTAAACTTTTTGTGCCTCGGTTCTGCTATCTGTGAAATGAGGATAATATGACTACCTAATTTCATATGAGTGTTCTGAAGATCAGTTCATTGTCTGAGAAGCATTCAGTTACCTTGGCGAAAGCATGATAGAAACACCCAAGAAGAAACTAACAACTTCTTATTTGGTGCATGGCTTAAATGGTATGTATTTAAGACCTGAGGTCACACATTGACAAGGCTACAGATAAATAATGAATAACTATGCTTTCACTGAAGTAGCTATCATATGGAAATATATACTAGAGCATGTAATTTTCATAATGGCTGTGTACAAGGGGGCCAAATCATGGATGCATAGGCAACTTTAATTCTGGAATTTCCTTGGCTTTTGAGTGCTTGATTTTACAACCATAATGTTCTTTTAATGTAATTTTTTTTTGCATGTAATAATTCTATACTTAGTGCACTATCATGAAGACAATAGATGTAGTTTATTCCAAACAGATTAATTTAAAATTAGGGCTGTCAAGCGACTAAAAAAATTAATTGCAATTAATCGCGCAATTTAAAAATTAATCACAATCACGCAATTAAACAATAGAATACCATTTATTTAAATATTTTTGGATGTTTTCTACATTTTCAAATATATTGATTTCAATCACAACACAGAATACAAAGCATACAGTGCTCACTTTATATTTTTTTGATTACAAGTGTTTGCACTGTAAAAAGACAAGAGATAGTATTTTTCAATTCACCTAATACAAGTATTGTAATGCAATCTCTTTATCATGAAAGTTGAACTTACAGAATTATGTACAAAAGTACTGCATTCAAAAATAAAACAATGTAAAATTTTAGAGCTTGCAAGTCCACTCAGTCCTACTTCTTGTTCAGCCAATTGCTCAGACAAACAAGTTTGTTTACATTTGCAGGAGATAATGCTGCCCACTTCTTGTTTACAATGTCACTTGAAAGTCAAAACAGGTGTTCTCATGGCACTGTTGTAGCCGGTGTCGCAAGATATCTACGTGCCAGATGCGCATGCTTCAACCACCATTCCACAGGACATGTGTCCATGTTGATGACGGGTTCTGCTTGAAAACCGTCCAAAGCAGTGCGGACCATTGCATGTTCATTTTCATTATCTATGCCACTAGCAGAAGGCTGATTTTCTTTTTTGGTGGTTCGGGTTCTGTAGTTTCCGCATCGGAGTGTTGCTCTTTTAAGACTTCTGAAAGCATGCTCCCTACCTAATCCCTCTCAGATTTTGGAAGGCACTTCAGATTTTTAAATCTTGGGTCGAGTGCTGTAGCTCTCTTTGGAAATCTCACATTGGTACCTTCTTTGCATTTTGTGAAATCTGCAGTGAAAGTGTTCTTAAAATGAACAACATGTGCTGGGTCATCATTTGAGACTGCTATACCATGAAATATATGGCAGAATGTGGGTAAAACAGAGCAGGGGACATACAATTCTCCCCCAAGGAGTTCAGTCACAAATTTAATTAACACTTTTTTTTTTTTTTTTTAAACACGTGTCACCAGTATGGAAGCATGTTCTCTGGAATGGTGGCCGAAGCATGAAGGGGCATACGAATGATTAGCATATCCGGCACGTAAATACCTTGCAATGCTGACTACAAAAGTGCCATGCAAATGCCTGTTGTCACTTTCTGGTGACATTGTAAATAAGAAGAGGGCAACATTATCTCCTGTGAATGTAAACAAACTTGTTTGTCTTAGCGATAGGCTGAACAAGAAGTAGGACTGAGTGGACTTGTAGCCTCTGAAGTTTTACATTGTTTTGTTTTCGAGTAACAAAAAAAAAAAATCTACATTTGAAAGTTGCACTTTCAGAACAAAGATTGCACTACAGTACTTGGATGAGGTGAACTGAAAAATACTATTTCTTCTGCTGATCATTTTTACCGTGCAAATATTTGTAATCAAAATATACACTTTGATTTCAATTACAACACAGAATACAAGATATATATGAAAATGTAGAAAAACATCCAAAATATTTAATAATTTCAATTGGTAGTCTCTTGTTTAACAGTGCAATTAAAACTGCGATGAATCACTATTAATTTTTTTAATCGGGATTCATTTTTTTAGTTAATCGCATGAGTTAACTGCGATTAATCGACAGCCCTGTTTAAGTTAGGTTTTCCAGAATCCTCAAGCTAGCAGGCAGCTCTTGGAGATTTTCCCTTCAGCCAGTAAACATTCTTACCTGGCCAAGGTAATATTTATCTTTGCCTTTTTACTGAACTTTCTGAAAATATCAAATCAGAATTAACAGCCTAAAACTGCACTGTTTTAATGTTTAGTTTAGTCACATGTGAATATCAAAGTTTAAAAGCTTGCTTTTTAGGCAAAGCTGTTAAAGTTTGGCAAGTACTGGAAGGAGCAAAAGCAAAGCATATTAACCTATTAAATAAATGAAATGCCCAAATCGTAACTTTTTGTTGTTGTTGTTTTCCACTGGAAAATACACATTGGAAATAATTAAAGATTTTTTTTTTCTTAAACCACTGCCAACAACCATACCAAAGGGTAGCAACATTACAGACCTGTGCCTGTTATTTCACCTACTGTGACTTTAAAGGTGAAACTTGGAAGATGTACTTGTCCTTCAGCCTTCTCAAATTTGTACTCAGGAGTGATACCAGCCTTCGTGCCATATTCATGTAACAACTGAATTGGTGTTTTCCCTGGTTTGGCAACAATCATTTCCTCCAAGCTGCAAAGAAAAGAATAAGATTTCCCGATGAATAATTTACAAAAGAAAATAATTTAGATGGGAAAACTGTATTTAAAGCTGGACAAAAAAATCTGAATCTTATGATTTTTTTCAGTGAAACTTTGAAGAAATAATTTTTCTACTTGGCTTTTGTGGCACTTTTCATCCATAGATCTCAAAGCACTTTACAAAAAAGGACAAGCATTGTTACATTGGGATGGGGAGACCAAGTTATAGGGAAGCAAAGTACTTGTCCAAGGTCCCATGGTAGACCAGGATAGAACCCAAGTTTACTGAGTCCCAATTCACTAGGCCAATATTATCTCCCAAATTTCCATTTTTTTTAAAACCAGCTCTAGCTACTGTAAAAGGATAAAATTACCAACCCTCCCCCCCGCCCCCCAAAATCTGGATGAGGAAAAAATAGTTTAACGAATTCTCAGTGTGTAGGGCCTTGCATCCATTCATATATGTGAAGTTTATTTTGCAGCATAGGAGGAAACAAGAACAGAGATGTAGGTAGGTGGAAAAGCTATTCAGAGGTCTGAGCTTAAACTTGTTTCAAAATGCCCAGTAAGAGGCTCTAGGGATGGGCACATCAAAACTAGAACAGCAAGAAAGGAAGAGTATTTTAGCTGCAGCAGAGAAAGGGAAAAGATTGCAGTGGTTCTCAAACTTTTTGTATTTACAACCCCTTTCACACAGCAAGCCTCTGAGTTTCTTTATAAATTAAAAACACGTTTTTTTTATTTAACACTATTTTAAAGTGATATTTGTTAATATCACTTTTCACAGCAGACTTACTAGTGCAGACTTCACAGCGGACTTGCTAGCTAGCTGGGAGGCATATACTTGCAGCCCCCACATAACAACCTTGCAACCCCCTGAGGGGTCACGACCCGCAGTTTGAGAACTTCTGTGATTAGAGGAAAAACAGGTAGCTCAGACAGTCACAACATGATCAAGCTAAGCTAAACTAAGGCATGTCTGTATTTAGCATTTGGGAAAGAGACCAGAAAAGTTAATGTACAAATCATTGTGGAGGAAAAACCAACAGGATTTGGCAAAAGCTTTTGGCAAAAAGAGGGGACAGAGTTAGAGGGATATGTTGAAAACAAAAAAAACCTGCAGTTTCTCAGATTTACAAGACTTTCCTATCTTAATACCCAATAGGACAACAAGTATTTAAACCCACGCACATGTATGATTTTTTTGCATCAGGAGGACCTACATGCATTTGCATGCTATTCAGAACTATCAGCTCTACATTGTAAAGCAAATTTAATGCACAAAGAGTACCAGACTGACAAATCAGGATACTAGTCACAGCACTATTATAGTATCAGTAGTGACTGCAAAATTCTCTACAAAGTGCCATCCTATGTACCTCAGCACTCTTCTAAAGAGGCTGCCTAAAATGAGAAGAACACACAGACTTCGTGACGATTCAACATGCTGAAAGTGCCAACAAGAATGTCATTTTGTTTCATTTTGTAATATGGACACCTATCAACAAAAAACAGATGGACTCCAGTTAGTTTACATAGGTCTCTGAATGAATTTTGGTTGCTACTGAACCGAACTGGATTCAAATCACTGGCCTCCTTGTGAAAGGCTCTCATTATCTGTGTTTCAAGACAGCTTGTCATCGTCCATTCAAGTTATGAAAAATCAAACTGATCTTACTAAATGATGAAAGAAAAATTATTTTATGCTGAAAGCCTGCACTGATAATTAAGGGGGGAGGGAAAGTGGTTTTCAGCTGGAAGCTGCATGCTATGAAACCAGAATGCAAGTTAGATAACAAACACTTAAAATACAGGATCATTCTTAAACACAGCAATAAAGAATCAGTTATATAATGTGGTAGAAAACAAATGGCAGATTGTTGTAGGCAACTGTTCTGTTGACAGATAGGAATAGGGAAAACAAAATATTTGCAAAATAACATTATATTACAAGTAATTAACACTTTCTTCTGATCACCAAGACAACTGGGAGTGGCATCAGTTGCAACATGGACAAGTGGTTGGATACCGAAGGCACTTATTAATTCTCCACAGCAAAGAAACAATCATTGTTGAGGAGGATCTGAAGGTGACAGGTCCATAGTAGATTGAGCTTGCACCCATCTCAAAACTTATCAAGTTCAAAAGTTAACAGTATCTGGATAGCTGTTCTCCATCAAAAGCTGGGCTATTTCAGGAACTGGTGTTTTAGGCCAGGACTATTCACAGGCTTAAAGTCAAACACATGAGTTTGTAGGATCATGGTATACAAACACTCTCTTTGTCTGGCTTGGAACATGGCCTAGACTTCTTTTCCCCCTCCCTACATTATTTATTTTGCTCCATCACTAGGATGACAGAACATTATGCTGCTGGAAGTATCATGAAACTAGTTCCTGAGCATTTGTCAAAATGTACCATGGCACTGTTTGAAAGATGGGCTGTTAGGGACCTAAATACTTCTGAGGATCAGGATCTTTCTTGCCAGGGCGGTGATTACTGTCGCTGTACCTATAAGTCCACCACTTCTGGTTTGAACTGGACAGGGTGCATGAAGGACTGGGCCATGTTTAACAGCTGTCACATTCTACCATGAAGGTGGCTCCTTTTCAGGGATGCTGAGTCCTGCTTACAACGGCTAACAGCGTTAACTTTACACTGACATGACTGAGGGATCTTCAGCGGAGAGCTGAGTTTAAGGGCTATTGAGCCTGCCTCTGACTGCATCACTCTCAGTCCGAGGGTAAGGGACTGAGCCTCAGGGGCTGGCTGGCGGCGGGCGCAGGCCGGTGCAGCATCTACACTTGCAACCCCGGTGGCTGCGCTGAGAGCAGGCGGGGGTAAAGGCCCCGCGCCGGGTCAGAGCCCGGGACAAAACCAGGCCGAAGGGCGGGACGCAGCTGGCCGCTCTCTGGGGCCGACAGGGCTCACGCTGGGCAACCCGCGGGCAGAGGGGCGCGGCGGGCTCTGCGGGGGGCCTGGGGCTCAGACAGGGACCAGCGTTTTCCCCGCTCGCTGCGCTGCGAACTGGGGCAGCTGGGCCGCAGCGACAATGGGCGGGGGCACGAGCCCGGCCGGTGCCACCCCCGCAGGCAGCAGTTGGCCGCGGCCGCTCGCGCGCCTCTGGTGAGTGGGGAGCGGGAGAGATTTCCCTGATTACCCACAATGCCCCACTGCGCCCTGACCTGCGGGGCTTGTCCGGCGCCTCCGGGCTCTGCTGGGTCGCGGCCGGGAAGGTCTCCTGAGACATGGCCGGGCCGGCCGCCTCCGCCTCCCAGCGAAGCGCGTCCCCCAGTGGCGTGCTGTGGGGGCGGGGCCGCGCCGGGAGAGCGGGGCGGCGCTACCTGCCGTTCCTGCTCGGCAAAGCCCCCGCTTCCTGTCGCTGCGGGGCCGGCACCTTCCCGGAGAACGACAGTCCTTCCTGCCCTCCGCGGAGCGCACCCTGTGGGGGCGGAGGAGATGGGCCTGGCCTCGCTCAGCGCACCCTGTATGGCCTGGCCTGGCCAGTGATGCACAAACCCTCCCCCCTCAGGAATCCCGGTGGGGAGAGTAATACCCGCCCCCCCAACACACCCATGGGGCAGAGAGGGAAGCCCTATGCGTCAACCCCAGCATAGGCCACTCCCCACTCATGTATATGAACACTCTTAAAGCTCAGCAAAATCCCATGTGCCCCTCTGTGGTGGAGTACACCCCAGCGTTTACCCCTAGGGCTGCTAGTTTTGGTTGGATGTATTCCTGGAGATTTCATCACATGACATAATCTTTAATTCTTGGAGACTCCAGGCTAATCCTGGAGGGTTGGCAACCCTAATTTACCCCCTACATACTATTGTAGTAATCTTTATACAAAATATATCTTGTAAGCTATCACTTGAAAATCCATAACTTGCTGTTTAGTAATGGCCTGGTGAACTATGTATGGCAACATTGTATGGGAAGTTTCCCTCATGTGGTTGCTATTAACCCAGGTTCCAAACTCCACAGTCCTGCCCAAACAGATATTGGCAAATAGGTCTGTCCTAAACAGAGGACTGTGTGCTTGCTTTAATTTGTGTTTAAGCAGTGAACAGAGTCATCAAGCAGGAAGGGAAGATGAAGTTCAAACAGGTGAAAAAACCATCAGGGAATATTTTTCCTGGTAGACTCTTTATCTCCTGGGGCAGCTGGAAATATGTTTCAAGAGGGGAACTGAAACTATAAAAAGGAGGGGCAAACACCCAAAGGCACCCCTCTCTGTCTCTGTCCCTGCCCTTTGCATTCACTGCATCTGAGGAAACAAAGGCAGCAGCTATTGGATACTCTAGGGCAGGTGTCCTGACCTAAAGAGTTTAGTCAGTGTAAGACTCCTGAACGCATGTGGTAAGAAAACTTTTTGCTTTGAAGCTAATGTAGTTTGTTAAGTTAGGCACTAGTAAGCATTTTACGTTTATTTTTCTTGTAACCATTTTTTACTTTTATGGCTCATTTCTTGTACTCACTTAAAAGCTATCTCTTTGTTGTTAATAAACTTTTTATATCTAATCCAATGTGCTCAGGTTGAAATGTCTGGGTAACTCCATTTATGGTAACAAGTTATATGCATATTATTCCCATAAAGGAATAATGGTCTCAATATAGTTGTACTGTCCAAGGGGGACGGGACTGCGCAGTATAGGACATATGTTTCTGGGGGAAAATCTGGGACGGGTGCATGTGGGGGTCAACCTGCAGCATAACTAAGGCTGATAAGAGCCAAAGTGTGGCTGGCTGGCTGCAGCACACATACAGACATAGCTGGGAGTGATTTACATGCTGGTAACTGTGAGCAGTCCAGGTTGGGCTACAGCAGCAAGGCATTGTAAAAGGCACCCCAGGTTACAGGGTAGGGGTGACATAGCTACTCATTAGCCTGGATTGTATCCTGCTATGTCACACCCTCCTACCAAATGCTGACACACCCCAGCAACCTTCCTCCCCTGCCCCACAGACACACACCACCGTCCACGAAGGAACAAACTGCTAAATTCCTCTCCCCCCTCCCAAGCTCACAGAACAAAATCCACACATAATCATGTGGGGCAAGGCAATAAAACACAAGAATATCCTTTCTGATACAGAAAATTTTTATTAAAGTTAATGTTTAAAATGAAATATACACGAGTTAAGAGGCAAGGTACTGTACATCTGGGGTCAGGCTTGGGTTATGGGGGGTTACAGGTATCGTTTGCAAGGATGAGAATATACATACATATCGCATAACCTGCAGAGACCCAGATTGGGGTGCAAGGGTTTTTAAAGTGTCAGTGGATAAGTGGGCTCGGGTACGCCACCCATGGAATGAATAAGGAGTCCAACTCAGTATCGGTGTAGCGGATAAGTACATGGGTGGGGCGCGTCCCTTGGTCCTTCAGGGAAGGAAGTGGGTTATTTCCCTGGTCGGCGGTCTCGGTTACTCAATGCGGTATTGACGGTGTCCTGTGATGTGTTCCGTATAAATGTCTCTGGACCACCTGATGGTGTCGGACACCATGAGCTGTCTCATGAGCCGGGCGTAGCATCGACCAACTCCGCACGCTCTCAGAACCGGCTCATTGTGGGGGTCTCACGAGCCCAGGGCTCCCACGATCAGGGCGTGTATCTGGACCTCGTAGCCCTGGGCTCTCAAGGTCTCGGCCAGCCAGGTGTACTTTGACGCCTTCCGTGCTCGGGCCTCGTGGAGGGCCGGTGACCGGTTTTCAAAAGGCACCGTGACGTCTACGATGAGGACCTTCTTCTTTTCTGCGTCTGTCACGACGATGTCGGGTCACAGTCTGCTGTCTGTCCCGGGGATGGCGGAGTCGAGGGTGATCTTCCCCAGGGACTGCAATTACACATGTACCAAGCCCTCCTGACCCAAAAGCACCAACCAGCCAGAAAAGACAGTAAACATCAGCAAAGCAGAAGTGAGACCACAACACACAGAGCAAAGTCTCTCCCCAGGGTGAGAAAAGCAGAGATTAACATACTGTAAAATCCCCTAACTTTGAGTAAAGTCGTATCTACACATCAACTAAGGAAAAAATTTAGAAAGGCTTGCACAATCTGAAGTTTATTTCTTCAGGGCTGAGCTCTTTAATAGAGTTATTATGCAAGCACTACTGAAAGGATCTTCCTCCCGGCCTCCAATTGTGTAGCTCAGCAGGCCTGCTCAGGTGAATTCCCATTGGTAAAACACTTTGGGATCCAGCCGGATAACAGGCTCATTAAACAGAAATTATATCATTGTCTTTGCAATCACAACAAAAAAAGATGACTGCAGAATTTAGTAATCTTTTGATTCTAAAGCAATCATCTTACGTATTTTCAAATAATGGCATTATACTACTAAAGATTGAGCAATCATCTCTGTATCATTTTACACAGTTAATTTATTATTCATTGTACTGGATGAGATGGCAGAACAGAAGGAAGTTGGAAAACAATACACTAGAAGCTGGGTGGTGATGACCCTACTGATTCTCTTCTCCAAGTAAAATGTAACTAGGCTTTAAACAAAGGAGCTAGACTTTAAGTTTTGCCATGTGATCATTCAATTACTAAAATATTTTAACATGGGTATGAGGGTTGGAAGCTGCAGTTGATACAGGGTTTTTTATTATTATTAATGCCATACTATGTTTGCTGCTGCTACCAAAAACTTTGTTAAGCAGGTTGGTGATGGTGGGAGATTAGTCCCTGTTCCTAGCCTCAGTGAAGCTGACAAATACCAACCTCTGAGTCTTGTTATTAAGAAGAGAAAATGTTTTCTTTCAAAAAAATCTAAATTTGCTTCGACACCTTTCACCCTAAAAGACATTCTTCAGGGAGAGAAAGAAATTTCAGCTGGTAAGTTTTTCTGTTCTTCTTTAAGGCCTGAAATATTAAGGTTTTGCAGTAAACATAGACCTGGTGTTATATTTAATTAGTATTTGTAATATGATAATTATCTTCATTAGCCATGCAATTAATGAGAAATGAAAAAATAAATTATAAAAATAGTCAAACTTCTATTTAAAAAACTGCACAAATATGTTTACTAAATGGCTAAAATTCTGGAATAATTTTCAGGAATCCATTTTATTGACAAATCTTGATTATTTTTGTGTACTAATAAATAGCAAGTATAATTCAGCCGTGTGTATTTAAAAAGTATTATCATAAAAGATTCCTGGTAAATATGTTAGCATATGTTATTTACGAGTTATTTAAAGTTCCATTGTACTATATATACGTTTTCAAGGCACAACTCCATGAAGCGTCACTGTTGAATAGAAATAATGGCTCCAATCCTGCAACTGATTCATGTGACTGACCTCTTGTACCAGCTAAATGGGGATCTCTTCAAGCACAAGGGTCTGCCCATGCAGATCTGATTGAAGAATTGGGCCATAGTAATTTGTTTTTATAATTTAGTCAAATATTTCAGTAGTGTAACTACCTCTAGATATATATAATTCGAATAAATCTTAAGGAGACTCTGTCTTAAGTAGGAGGTTCAAAATTTAAACTATAGGTCCAGATCCACAAAAGTGGTGTGATGCTGAATGTCACAATGCCTAGCTTTTATAGGTGTTTAGAAAATCATTGGAACTACCTGGGATCCACATAGCCTGAGTTAGGTGCCTAAACTCCCTATACAATGAATGTCACAAGATAGGCACTTTAAGAATGCGATCCACTAGATGGGGAGCTGCCTAAGCTAGCCAGTAGGAAAGACTGACAAGAGCTGTGTGACTTAAGCTGTTATTAAGACAGATGGCTAATTCCGAGCTGCAGAGAAGTGTCTATCTCTATGTGTGTTCCACAACTGGGAACCCCTCTCCTAGCGTCAGGTGGCTAAGACGCCTAAGCTGTTTCTTGTAAGGGGCAGTTAGGTAATTACCTCACTCCCACACAGAAAGAGGTGGTGCCCACCTGATAACTTTAGCCCTCTGGTTAGAACACTCATTTGGGATGGGGGAGATCCAGATTCAGTTCCTCCTGTTGCGGAGAGAAGATTTGAACAGAGACTCTCCCTTGTGTCAGGAGAGCTCTCTAACCGCTGAACCATGGGGCTCGCTCTCTCACTTTCTTCAATTGAAGCTGTTCCACTGTGTATAAATAATTAAAGGGTCATTGGAGCATGGGGACTGGACCCTGGGTCTCCCCAGCCCAGATGGATTCCCTAACCAACAGGCTATGGAGTCATTCTTTCTCGCTCTGGCCCAATGACTCTTTAATGCAGTGAGTGCACTTGAAAGCAGAAAAATCCATTAAGGAAAAACATTTCTATTTCAAGACTACACAGAGACTTGACACACAAATAGGGTCAAATTCTTCTAGCCTTGCACCTATGAGAAATTCAGTAAGATTACTTGTGTAAGTAAAAGTTGCAAAAGATTTCTTGTAAAATCTAGTTTTAAAAAGGTCAAACAAACAAACAAAACATCTTAGCAGTGTCCTTTCAATAGGGGTTACATCTCATGAGGACAATGTGCTTTAATTTGTAATTGAATTTCTACTTTTTGGATGACAAAGGTACTGGAAAATGTGACAAGCCACTTAGCATTATGAGAGAAAAATATTATACACTCAAAAGCTTTAAAATTCACTTTATGAACAGTCTGTAATTTCCTTTGTTAATAAAAGACTTCAGTTGTGCTATATTGTCAACCGGTATCTTCTAATTTTTTCCACAAGTAGAACAGAAATATATTGTGAATCACAAGGAAAATATTAACTAAAAATGCCTATTAAGTTAGAATAGAGTTCAAACAAAAATGGATTCTTTAGTTCATACCAAGATCTGCGTACATGCAAAATTTCAAGAAAGTCAGACGACTTACTATGTGTTTTGCTACTTCTCCAGAAGAAATTATAAAAGTAGACAATGAAATCAATGGATGCTGCATCTTATCATGTGACAGGTGTATTAACCTTTTCTAACTGACTCCTTTTAGGTGATGGGGGCCGGAAATTAAGCCAGGTATGCTACTAGTAGTCATGTGTGTCACACATGTATTACAGAAATGAAAAACAAATTCAGCTAAATTGCCACTATAAATATAACTAGAAACTCAGCACTTATTAAAATGATTTTTATATGGGACTCTTCAGCAATGAGGATTGTGTTTAAAAAAAATAAAAATCAGAGGGCATAAACCACCCTTATACCAACCAAAGGCCCTATGTACCACCACAGCCACTCTTAATGTCAGGAGAATGGCGATGTGGTCTAGTATAGGGCATTACACTGGGTGTTAAGAGTTTAAATTCTGTTCCTGGATTTGCCATTGATGTACTATGTGATCTGGGACAAGTCACTTCATTTGTGCTTCAGTTTCTCCACTAATAAATTGGGGATAACGCTTACTCACCTGTGTAAAGAGCTCTGATATCTGTGGATGAAAGGATATTTTATAAGAATTCCAATAAGTATGATTTTTGTCTGAGACCCTTCTGCTGCTCTGAATTTCACCCCACAAGAATAAAGTTTGTGTTTGATATTTTCAGAGTGATACTCCCATTCTTTAGTTTAAGTTTGGTCCTGTAAAATTAGTAACAGTTTTGCGCTATGCCGGACTTGGTTTGAATCACTACTATAATTCTCAGCCATTAATGTCTGTGTATTTAGGTATTATTCTGTTTCTAACCTAATGGACTTCTATTTTATTTTCTGTATATGGGCATGAGACCTTTCCCCCCCAAAATACAGCAAGTATCCTCTTTTCCTCAGGTGTTTCATCCTATCAGCTGTTGAATTATGAAGACAAATCAGATGTTTCACTCTATGGTAGACGAGGAAATCAGATGATGAGTGATGTTGGGGTCAATATTGCTGGATCAGATTCTATTGCAGTAAAAGCTTCATTTGGTATAGTGACCAAACATGAGGTTGAAGTACCAACATTACTTAAAGAACTTACTACTAGGTTAGTACTATAATTTTTATATACTTGGCCCAAGTGATTCGATGGTTAGATTATGTGAGATTACATTGAAATCCAGTGTGATTCGTTTTTTTTTTGGTTAGGCTTTGAGAACTGTAAACCAACTAATAAGATTTGCTGTATGATCATTTAATAAGAACATAAGAATGGCCATACGGGTCAGACCAATGATCCATCCAGCCCAGTATTCTGTCTTCCGACGGTGGCCAGTGCCAGATGCTTCAGAGGGAATGAACAGAACAGGGTAATTATTGACTGATCCGTCCCCTGTCGTCCAGTCCCAGCTACTGGCAGCCAGAGGTTTAGGGATTCCCAGAACATGGGGTTGTGTCCCTGAATATCTTGGTTAGATGAGCCTGTCCTCCATGAACGTACCTAATTCTTTTTTGAATCCAGTTATACTTTTGGCCTTCACAACATTGAGTTTCACAGGTTGACTGTGTGTTGTGTGAAGAAGTACTTCCTTTTGTTTGTTTTAAACCTGCTGCCTATTAATTTCATTGGGTGACCCCTTGTTCTTGTGTTATGTGAAGGGGTAAATAACATTTCCCTATTCACTTTTTCCATAATGTTCATGATTTTATAGACCTCTATCATATTCCCCCACTTAGTTGTCTCTTTTCCAAGCTGAACAGTCCCAGTCTTTTTTAATCTCTCCTGCTATGAAAACTCTTCCATACCCCTAAGCATTTTTGTTGCTCTTCTCTATACCTTCTCAAATTCTATTTGATGGTGACCAGAACTGCATGTAGTACTGAAGGCGTGGGCATACATTGGATTTATATAGTAGCATCATGATATTTTCTGTCTTATCTATTCCTTTCCCAATGGTTCCTATCATTCTGTTAGCTTTTTTAACTGCTGCTGCACATTGGAAGGATGTGTTTAGAGAACTACCCACGATGACTCCAAAATCACTTTCTTGAGTGGTAACAGGTAATTTAGACCCAATCACTTTTATGTATCCATTGCTTTGCACTTATCAACACTGAATTTCATCTGCCATTTTGTTGTTCAGTCACCCAGTTCAGTGAGATCCCTTTGTAATGTTTTGCAGTCAGCTTTGCACTTAACTATCTTGAGTAATTTTGTTATCATCTGCAAATTTTACTACCTCACTGTTCACCACCTTTTCCAGATCACTTATGAATATATTAAATAGATTTATAAGGCCAGAAGGGACCATTGGTGATCATGTACACTGACTTCCTGCATAATGCAGGCCAGAAGACTTGCATGAATTATATCCTGTTTGAACTAGAGCATATCTTTTTAGAAAAACATCCAATCTCAATTTCAAAGTTTCCAGTGATACAGAATTCACCATATCCCTTGGTAACTGGTTCTAATGGTTAATTACCCCCACTGTTTTTTTAAGTGCTTTATTTTGAGCCTGAATTTGTATCTCTTCAGCTTCCAGACATTGGATCTTGCTATGTCTTTGTCTGTTAGACTGAAGAGCCCTCTTGCAAATTTCTATTCCCCCATGTAGGTACTTATAGTCTGTGAGCAAGTCATCCCATAAATTTCTCTTTGATAAACTAAATAAATTGAGTTCCTTGGGTCTATTACTATAAATCATGTTTTCCAGTCCTCTGATGGTTCTTGTGACTCTTCTCTTAACCCTCTCTAATTTTTCAACATCCTTCTTGAAGTGTAGACACAGAATGGGACACAGTATTCCAACAGTGGTTGCACAAGTGCCAAATACAGAGGTAACATAAACTCCCTACTCATATTCAAGATTCACCTGTTTATTCTTCCATGGTTCACATTAGCCCTTTTGGCCACAGTGTCACACTGCCGGGAGTTCATGTTCAGCTGATTATCCACCTTGACCCCCAAGTCTTTTTCAGAGTCATCGTTTCCCAGAATGAAGTCCCTGGTCCTGTAAGTATGGCCACACATTCTTTATTTGTAGATGTATGACTTTATGTTTGGCTGTATTTAAAGGCCTATTGTTTGCTTGCAACTAGCTTACCATGTGATACAGATCACTTTGTGTCAGTGACCTATCCTATTCAGTGTTTATCATTCCCCCAATCTCTTCTGCAAACATTTATCAGTAATGATTTTATGTTTTCTTCCAAGTCATTGATAAAAATGTTAAATAGCATAGGACCAGGAACCTCACTAGAAACACACCTGCTTGATGATGATCCCCTGTTTACAATTACATGTTGAGACTTATCACTTAACCAGTTTTAATCCATTTAATGTGTGTTATTATGAATCTGATTTGTTCTAGTTTTCTAAACAAAATGTCCGTGGTACCAAGCAGAGGTGATGTGGGGGGAGGGCACGTGGAGTTATATGCCCCCCTGCCAGATTATTGCCAGGGTTTGGTGGCCCTGCTTGGTCACATGGTATGGCTGGGTCCCCTCCCTGCACAGCAGCTGCTGGAGCATGCAAGCTGGGAGCTGCTGCCATGATGGGAGAGGCAGCAGTAAACAGCTGGGAGCTGCAGGGAGGAGCTGCTGAGGGTAAGAGGAGAGGCATGCCTGGGGGGGCCATGACTCAAGCTGTTTGGGGGGTGAACCTTTAAATTGTGCCCTTCCCCCCCCCCCCCACTTTCAGCAGGTACTAGTCGTCTCTGGTACCAAGTCAATTGCTTTACAGAAGTCAAAGTATATTACATCAATGCTATTACCTTATCAAGCAAACTTGTAATCTCAAAAAAGATATCCAGTTAATTTGACAAGACGTGTTTTCCATAAATCTTTGTTAATTGGCACTAATTATATTACTCTCCATTAATCCTTTATTAATCAAGTGCCATATCAGCTGTTCTTTTTAGTGCCCAGGTCAATCCATCTATAATAACCCAGGTCTTCCTGTTTACCTTTTTAAAATATTGGCACATTAGCGTTTTTCCAGTCCTTTGGAACTTCCTTATGTTCCAGGACTAATTGAAAATCAATTTTAATGGTCCCAATAGCTCTTCAGCCAACTCTTTTAAACTCTTGGATGCAAGTTAGCCAAGCCTGCTGATTTTAAAAATGTCTAACTTTATTAGCTGCTGTTTAATTTGTTAATTATCTGTGAATTTTTTTTCTCCTTTAATTTTAGAAAAATTAACTTTGATCACTGCCTAGTCCGACAATCAAGAGAAAGTAGGAAAGAGGTTCTGTGTGTGGTCATGGAAAGTATTAGAACAACACGGCAATGCTCATTATCTGTGCATGCTGGTATGCGTGGGGAAACAATGAGGGTAAATATAGACTTCTTTAACTAATAAAATGGATAGTAGGGACTCGTATTCTTATTGTAAGGACCTGTGACCAGATTTTAATTGCATTTACACTGGTGTAAATCCAGAGCAATTCCAATGTAAGTCAATGGAATTGTACTGATGTAAATTAAATTAAACTCTGACCCTCTCTCTGCTTTTCAGATCTAGAGAAAACTATGCCAGTATAGGATATTGGGGTAAAATCTTGGTTCCACTGATGTCAATAGCAAAACTTGTATTGACTTCATTGGGGCCAGGATTTCATCCCACTCTATTAATTTAATATTGGAATAGGCCATATACCATAATTATGCTGTGTGTGGGATGCTCTCCATATTGACATTTTTTTATTTTAATAAACTATAATTAAAAACATTACTAGGAGAACTTGGTTGTCAGACTTGTACACTTTTTCATATTTTAAAATGACCAGTCTTATGGGTAACAAGTACTGTTGTTTTGCTCACACAGGGCCTTATTTTTTTTTTAAAATACATGAAAAACTATTCATGTATATGAAGCTTTTGTGGTATTTTATATAGGGGAGCATCTTACATTGGTTTTTTTACATAAATATAAATGCAGATTCTACAATTAGAAAACTTGGTTGCAAGCCAGATTCTGCATGAGGCAGAAGGGGACAGATCACTTAAAAAGAATGGAGAAAGAAGGAATTAGCTAGTTCTAATTTAATTTCCCCAGTCATGCAATTTACCATTTATTAATAGCTAATGGAAGCTAATACAGTGTTATTTATAATTATATAGGACTAGGGTGGTAAGATGGCCTTGTTTGCAGTGATTAGGTACAGTCTTGTTCTAGTGAAATCCCAGTCAGTTCTAGTGAAATCTGTCCCAGATTCCTTAGAACTGGCTTTGTAGCCATTCTGTAAACTACCAGGGCATGGGCAGCCTACCTTGTGGATGGAGGAGGACCTTGCCAGGTGGTTGTGGTGGCAATTCAGGTGATAAGTGAAGATCCAGGGATCAGGCACCAGTCTAAGGATGAAGCTAGAGTCAGAATCAAGGGGCCAAACTGAAGCTGAGAACTGGAGTCAGAATCTTAAGACAAAGGGTAAGCTGGAATTGTAGTCAGGGACATAGCAAAGAGTTGGAACTAGAAGTTAGAAACCAGAATGGAACAGGGAGACTGGGGATGAAGCAGGTATAGGCTGGAGCTGGAGCAAGAACGGGCTGGGAAGCAGGGCAGGGCTTGGCGCCTGGACTGCAGCAGGTGAGAGCAGAGTAAGCACGGCTGTGGGTGTGATATGGATTGAGCAGCCACCATGTGGTGGCTGCAAGGTTCAAGTAGCAAACCGTTGGCTCCTCTGCCCAATCAGGAAGTGCAACTGTTTGGAAGGGGCTCATTGGGCCTATCTGAACTTGCTGGGTTGCCTAGCGACCAGGCTGGGAGCCAGCTGTGTCCCTGACACATCCATCATAATAACAGTAATAATAATACATGTGTCCTCTCCCTTCCCAGTCCCTGCTGTTGGGTTAATTGAGTCTGAATGTACTGCTTCTAAAAGATGCTAATTCCTCGTTTAAAAATGGACCAGCTACAGTGCTATAGATGAGAAGGTGCAATCTGGAATGAAATTATTAAATTAAAAGGCAAACTCCATAAGAAAACAGCTGGCAGACAGAAAGGTGGAAGATTAGTGCTTAGGATCAGCACAACTAAGTTTGAGAGCTGATTTTGATAGTGTTTGGATAGTGTGATATTTACAGTTACAGACGCTCCCCAGGTTACGCAAGACCCGACTTACGCAAATTCCCACTTATGGAAAAAGTTACATAAGCCAGAAATAGGATTTTCAAGTTGCGGAAATTTTTTTGTAACGTATGGGTATACATTTCCGACTTATGCAAAATTCGAGTTACGCAAGGCTTTCCGGAATGCAACGATTGGGTAAGTCGGGGGGTGTCTGTACTTCTTTAAATTTGATTTGAAGACATTTTGATGTCAGTCTTACCTACTCACTTTTAGTTGGCACCAACTGCACTCTTCTTCACTCCTATACAAAGAAAATCATAGCCTAGGTGAAAAATATGATCCAAATTTCCTCCTGATTCCAGAAAGGGAGAACAGGGAAAAGAAGGGGGTGAAAAGAAAAACAAGGTGAAAAAATAGAAAGCAAAACTAGAAAAAATACACAGAGAAGAAAAGAGATGAGAAGTGAAAAACAAAATGAACAAAGACATAGGTCAGGGTGAAGATACAGAAAACAGTTGAGATAAATCAAAGGTGGAATGGGATGTGGTGTGTATGTGTGTGTTGAATTAAGATTTTATATGCTTTATGGCATATAGTCCCAGACCATATAATATTTGAAGAATGGCAACACAAGATATTGGCCCTGTCATTGCTGTTTCATCCAAACATGAGGGAGGCCCACTCTGACTCCTCCAAAGAGGAGCTGCTATTGGGAGGACAGAAGCAGGCCTCTTAGATCCTTATCCAAAATCCAGTGAAGTCTATGGGACTCTTTCCATTAACTTCAGTGGGCGTTGGATTGGATTCTTAGTTTTCCCTCAAATAGAAACTGTGACTGACTTGTCAAAGTAGGAGATATGATGATTGGACCTGGTTGCAGGAAGTCAGAAAGCAAAGGCTTGTTGGGAGTCTGGGTGACCGGAAGGATAAAGCTATGGTATTGTTAGTCGTACACAGAGAGCAGGGTTCTCAGAAAGTTTGGATAATTAGGTTTGCATAATCCTGCAAGTCCTTTGAGTTATGCTTATCACTAATTTATGTATCGGATATACTGCCTAATTTTCTATGGCCAGTTGATACTTTCTCTCTCTATCAAACATTACTGAAGTGCAGAAAAGAAAGGATGACATTAGTATACTGATCAGAACTGGGAAAATTTCTTTGGAGGAGGAGTTTGATCTTCAACTTCAAAAGAGTCTTTCCATTGCTGAAATTTTCATACTATATTTTAAAGCTATTACTCTTAATTTTCATTTCTGTTCAAAACATTTTTTTGTAAATATTTTTTTTTAATGAAATAAAATTTTCCTTTTTTAAATCATAGTTTCATATTATTGAGGACCAAAATCACAAGGGACGAGACAAAGCTATTGTTTTTCCAGCTCACACAACTATTGCATTTAGTGTATTTGAACTTTACATTCACTTGGATGGTAATTTTGGTAAGTAATTTTTTTGTGTTATTATTATAATTGCTAATATAGTAATTTGATTCTTTAAAACATTGTTCTTAAACTGAGACTTGACATGTGTCAGCCCCAATCCTATAAATATTTATGCACATACTTAACTTTATACATGTCAGTTGTCTGACCTCATCAGAGCCTTAGCTTTAATCCACAATTAGTTCTTGCTAGGATAAATATAAAAGGCATTAAAGGGTCTGATTTATCCTGGAAATGCTTTCACAGAATTAACTATATCAGATATTTAAATGTAAGTTTTTGAAAAATGAAATCACACTGTTAGCAATGAAACATTAAAAAACACATCTGCATATCAGTGTATGCCTTTGCTGGTTTGTAAGAAACTGAATATCTTAGGGCCATCTGATCCATTTCTCCATAAAAGAAGAATGTGGCATGGCAGGCCCCTCTAAAAAAGGCACGTCTGTGAAATTGATGAACAAAAATATTTCTCCTGCCTGGAGCTTCTATTTCAGTTTGCCCCAAACCAATGAAACACAGTCAGAGACTAGTCAGACACGGTCACCTCCAAATCTTTACAAAGTTTAAAAAAAACACAGTTACACAAAACAAAGTGGATTGACCTGCCTAATACTCTCCCAGTCTGTGGAAAGGATATGGTTTTATAAATTCCCCTCATTTCCCAGTGTGCTTTATCCCAGCCCAGGACTACAATTAGATGGGAACCTTCAGTCAGTCAAAGTATGGGGGTAATAATAACCCATAATATAGTTTTAGGGCTTGATCCTGCACTCATTAAAGTTAATGGCAAAACTCCCATTGACTTCAGAAGTGCAGGATTAGGCTTTTAGTGACCATATAATTTAGATTGTATTTAAAAAATATAACCAAAAAGATAAGAATTACCTCATGGAATATTATCTATCTCCATATATGCATGTAACACTACTCACTTGTTAGAGGTTCTGATTGGGGCTCCAGATGCTTTGCAACACATTGGAGATACATTCTATGACAAAGGCACTCTGAAGTTTGAAGCATAGTGACACATTTACATTTCTGTGACAACCTTATGTGCATTAAAAAAAACAAAGTAGTTATTGAATTAACTATGAAAAAAGATAATACAAGCAGTACAGAATCCCTCTGATATTCATTTTAATATTAAATTAAACACATAAATCCTAATTTTGGAATTATTTTCCATTTTACTTTGTCATTGCACAGTGGGGATAGGTGCACTAATTAGATGTTTTTACTAAAATGACCAATGAAATAGCAATATTGATATTTAAATTTTTATCATTAAGGTAATCCCCAATACAGATGAATGAGAGCTGTTAGTATATCTCTTTAAAGTTCTTTGTAAATTTATTAAGACAATATGGCATCAGTTTACTTCAAAGCCTTTTCTTTACAACCTTAGAGGCTAAAAAAATTAAGAATTTTATTTATGTTTAATTTAAAAGTTTTACAGCTGATTATGTGGTGAATAACATGGTTGGGAATCACAGAAAACCATTCACAATTGCAGATTTTCCATTTTTGGTTTCAAATGGGTGTGTGACTCTGCTTTTACTCCAAACGTGAGGCAGTCTGTTAATGGAATGCTGACTGCCTTAGACATTTAACCTAGCCAGGAAACCATAAGGAAATGCCTAATGTGAAGGTCACTATAAACCATCTAAATTAATAAATGAAGTAGTTACTACTTCATCTCATCTTGTTCTCTCTCTGCTTCATCTCATTTTTTGTGCTAACACTGTGTACATGTTGTTTTACACCATCTTTCCTAGGAATTAAAGACCAGTAGAATGACTAATAGGAAAGCTGTATTTAATTTTAAGCATTCTCTTAGCTTTATAATACTGTACATGTTATATAACAGAAAACATTTTGTACTAAGCTGTGTTTCGAAATTGTATAGCTTTTGAATTTCATCGTTCCGAAGGTTCTACTTTTTCCTTTAATACAGAGTTCTGTGTCACTCCAGTTTCAAAAGGAGGATTTGAAAAAGAGCAATCTGGATCATTTTCATTGAACAAATTAAGGAGGAATCTGTTCCACCGAAGTATGATGTTTGATATTTATGTCCAAATACACTAATCAAATGGATTAAGTGCATGTTTTTTTTTCTTTGACTTAGTAGGAAAGGTCAGAAGTTCAAAAGCATCTAATCAAGATAGAATTACACTTTAAAATTTGCACCAAGATAATAGCTATTTTGGCTATGATCAGATCTATTCAAAATAATTGTAAAGATTTTAAGATATTAATGGAGAGAATCTGGTTTTAAATAATTATATTTTTAATTAATATGAATATATTATTTTGTTTATCATGAAAACTTCTAATTGTTTTCTTAAAATAAATGATATTGGTGATCATAAATACTAATTGTACAACTACAATATCTTAGTATGTAAATTTGTTCTATATTTTTACAATTTAGAAAGTATTGCATAGTCGATATCAAAGGATGATACATAAAGATAAGATAAAGTTGAGGTTGTAAATGTTATATATTTATTAATTTAAAATACTAGAAAATGCTCAGTAGGGCGTAATCTTCAATTGACAGGGAATTGGCCTGTATCTACATATAGATTTTCTTTCTTATCTTCAAATAACATGAAAACATTTTAACAATGTTGTATGTTGGGTACAATTAAAAACTGGATATTTACCATCCCTGGTAGTAAAATTTACTGTAGTATGAGCCTGATCCTGGACCACTGAAGTCAAGTGGAATTTTGCTACTTACTTCAGTGAATGAAAGATAAGGCTCCATTTTCAGTATTTCTCATTCTAAGAATGGGAAAAACCACAAATACAAGAATAAAAATAAATGTTGTGGTGCAGTAAACATCTGCTTCTAATGGTGCCCTTTGTGTAGGAGCCTTTACTCCACTTTTACCCCTTCCCCTCTGGCAGGGCTGCTGTACGCCCCCTCCCCCCGCCCTGTTCTCTGGCAGGGCTGCTGTACAGATCCCAGGCAGGAGGACTCAGGAGAAGTAGGTAAATGGAAGGGCTGGGGGTCAGGCTGCGGGTAGTACAGCAGCCATGCCGGAGGAGCTGCCGGCATGGAGCTGCCCAGCAGCCCCACGTTATTCTGCTGCTTTCACCGCTGTGGTTCTGGAGAGCCCTGATCTCCTGGGAACCGCAGCTGCGAAAGGAGCAGAACGTAGGGCTGCTGGGCGACCCCACGTCAGCAGCTCATCTGGTGCGGCTGTACCGCTCCCAGTCCGGCTCCCAGCCCTTCCACACAGCTGTGTCTCCTGAGTCCTCCTGCCTGGGGTCTGTACAGCAGAAGTCTCCAGTGCAGCGGGAGGAGGACAGAGCTCCCCGCTGCACCACCACCCCAGTAATGTGGGATGGATGTGGATCATGGGGAAGGGATGGGGAGAGCGCGGGGCCCCGGGCTGGAGGCAGGGTGGGGAGGGGAGTAGTAGTCATGTGGGGAGCTCACCTGCCCCCCTGCTTTGTGTCCCTCCCATGAGTGCAGCGTACTGGCAAGAAATGATTTCTACTTGCACCACTGCCCCTCCCTGATCTTGGGGGCTGCTGGAGGCCAAACCAACCTGTAGTGCAAGTTTAAGTAACCTCAGTGCTGCTCTAACCTGCACCAGTGGATAACAGTCTCCAAGGAATCACTCTGCTGGTCAAGTTGTTTGGAGTGCTTCATACTCTTGGCCTGGAACATCGCCTCTGCATAGGGAGCCAGGAATAGCTGCTGTAGGGGATGGCTGTGCCCGCCTTATAACAACACAGGATTTACCTATTCTAGGGAAGTCCTTTCCTGCTGTCTTAAGACAGCTTTCAGTCCCGTTTGCCCCACATTGGTGCAAAGGGGATTTAAGAGAAGCTGAAGATTTGGCTCACGGTATGAAAGTCAGGAAATTAGCATGTTAAATTCATATTTCAAAAAGTATAAACATCAGTCTGGAAATACTAAGTTCAGATTTCAGTACTCTAACTTTGTGTTTTTTCATTGCTTATACACTGCTTATTGATGTAACAACTCCATTAGTTATAAAATGGAGAGTCCCATGTTGGGTATATGTATTAAAAGAGTATAGGCCAATACTTTCAACCTTAGGTGCCTAAAATTAGGTTCTTATTTATACATCTAAATAAAAATGGCTTGATTTCCAAAGGTGCTGGGTACCTGCAGCTCCCATTCATAATGGAAATTACTTCACTTCTTTTTATATACTGATGACAAATTTAGATTTGAGAATGTGGTAATAGTCTTTTTTTGTTGTACTATAATATCTGCCTTCACCTTTCTGGCCTGTATCAGGTACAAGAGTTATCTCAAACCTGTCTTGTTAGGGTGTTTAGAGTATTCAAGATCTGAGGCATGTATGCTCATGTTGGAAGTGGAAGAAAATGATCCCTGGTCTGTTGGAGTGTGCTGACTGACCACTATTGGGAGGATAGAGTGATTTCAGTCCTATTCCTAAAGAGATTCTAAATCCTGCAGATGTACACAAACACTTTTTTTGCATGCTGGAATATTTATAAAAATACAAAGGCTACTGGGGTCTGATGGGAGGTCTCTGCTCCTGGAGAGTTTATCAGTGAGCCTGCATATCATTGTAAATAGTGTCCTGAATTCCATAATCAGCTCAGAAATATACCCACCAAATTTTCCAAAACTAATTAGGTGCTGGCCCTTCTGGAGGACACCAGAATTAAACTATGTTTGGAGTTTATGATGTCCATTTCTTTTTCCTGCCCTCCTCTCCCCTCCCACCCCCCAAAAAAGTGAGAGAAACATTTCAAATGTGAATTATCACCAACTTTTCAAATGCTCAAAATGTTCATGAGATGTAGGGTTGTTATTTCACCAGTGACAACATTGTCCTCTGGCAGACGATATCTGTAAGAAATTTCTGCCTCCCCTTTGAAGTAAAAGTGTCAAAATTAGGGTTTCAATGGAAAACCTAGTTACAACCATAAAATGGTGTCTCTAATATGGCTTCATAATTCAGTACTTATTTCCATCAGTGGATTAATAGTATGATGTGTCCTGGTGTGTTCATAGTGTGATGACAAATCATTGCTATTTTGTGTGCATTCTTTTTCAGATAAAAGGGTAATGGATATCATTGCTAATTCAGATGCTTACTTGGAGGACCTTTTTACAGACTATTATGAAAAAGCTGCAAGCATGACTGATATCTCTACAAGCTATCTCAGAGAAGGGTCTCATATCCGGGTTAATTTACTTAATAACAACATCCCAAAAGGTCCTTGTGCCCTTTGTGGAATGGGAAATTCTAAAAGAGAGACAGTTTATGGATGCCTAGAGTGTTCTTTTAATGGACAAAAGTATGTACGACTGCATGCTGTGCCCTGCTTTGATGTCTGGCACAAGAGAGTGAGATAAATGATCTATGAGTGTGACTATTGTTATAGACTTCAGTGTAACTGTGCCACAACATTTCCAAAATTGTTGAATATTGAGTTAAGTTCAACAGACATTAAAAGTGCAAACTATTTGGTTATGCTATTTCCTTTTTTATTGTAAAGTGATTCTTTTATTTTACAATAAAGATAATTATATTACCTAGTTCAGAAATACCCCATATACATTTTCTTCAAAAAAATTGCTACTTTTCTTCTTTGGGGCACTTTCTCATTTTATCATTCATGGTAAGTAATATATACATGTTGAAATTGAATTCCAGAGTAGCAATCAGAATAGAGTTTGGAATTTACTATAAAAGCTGCTTATGCACATTTGGTCTGTCAAGATGTTATATATTGCCTTAACTACACCAGAGTATGATGGTAAAATGAGAAAACGTGTTAATAATTTAGTGCTATCATGAATGTTTAATTGAAGTATCAGATTAAAAGCACATTTAAAAACTAGCTCAGTTAAGGTTTCATTTACAAGAGGGAAGAGTTAAAAGGATTGTAACTGGTGATTATGGATTCCATTTTAGGCTGTGAATTCCCCATATGTCTATTCTGATTATATTTGTAGGGACCACAAACAAGTCTACAGTCTGCACTTGGCTAACTCAAATCTGACTTTTTTTTTTTTTTTTTTTCTTAAGCCTTCAGACTTGCTGCTGACTTTAGTGGTTTTCATATTTGGAAAAAACAAACAAAATTATATTGCGTTGCAAAACTAGTGTACTGAATCCCACCTATTACATCTCAGGTCTAGTAGCTGTAGAGCCCAATATCACAAATTAAAAAGTTGTATGCAGTCAAATTGTAGCTGTTGCAATCCCAGGATATTGGATAGACAAGGTGGGTAAGGAAATATCTTTTATTGGACCAACTTCTGTGATACTGGGAGTTCCTTTCCGAGACTTGAAGACGAGCTCTGTGTGGCTCAAAAGCTTGTCTCTCTCTATCCACAGTAGTTGGTCCAATTAAAAAAAAAAAAAAAAAGAAGTTTGCATAGTGGGGAATGCATGCAGCAGAGGGCACTGCAGTGTAGAATATTGAAATTGGCAGTGCTAGGCCCGTCTGCCAGACCTGCTTGGCTCTCTTTTGATACTGCAATTTTAAAGTAAGAATTTTAATCTCTCTCCTAACTCCCTCTATCTTAAGTAGAAGCTGTGTATATGTGGCAGCCTTTCTGCTTCATTCTTGTGCTGCTAGTTTCAGCATGCACATGCTTTAGTGGAAGCTTACAATTAATGTGTAGTGTAATGATTACACATTCAAATAAAACACAATGATGCTTGTCTCTTTAGACCTTAAATGCTGTCAAATTGACATTTTTGCATTTCTGTGTATGTCTGGCTGTAGACAAAGTGGTAGCTTTTGAATGCCTACTTCACCTACTCAATTCCAAAATTTCAGGAATTGGTCTAGGCAGCAGTGGCTGGAATCCTACAGATTTTGAGGAAAATCAGAAACCAAAAGGGGGGAAAGTAGGGACCCAAGGAGCCAGTGCTGTCAATTTAGGATAGTTATAAGTTTTAGCACCTCTGCAATTGTCTACAGATCAAGCAACTGGCTGATGCCATCTATTAATGCTTTCCAGCATAACAGTACCGCCCCCTACCTCCCCTCTACCTAAAGAGTTTAACATGTTGACACATTGAGTGACTTATCTCCTAGACAAATAATGATAGGGGGAATGGGGTGTGTGCACATCACAGCTGGCATGAGGGCAGGGAGACACACAATCCTTGGTATGGGGGCAAAATTGGGGATGCTGGTAGGAGAAAAGGGGGCACACACAACCCCTAGCATGTGGTAAGGAGACTAGGAGCACCCAGTGCTGTTGCCAATGGGGGGTGTGGGGGGGGGGAGGAGAAAGCTCCCAGAGCCTCTGATATGTGGCACCTGCCATAGAGGGTGCACACACAACCCCTGGCAGAGGAGAAATTGGGGAAAGCTGCAGAGAGTCCCTCAACTAGAGAAGGATGGGAGGGTGGCATGCAGGGGGTAGAATAGAGGAATACAGTGAACCCCTTGGGTGCACAAGAAGTTTGTCCTACAGAAGCTATGAAGGGTGTGACCCCCCATAGTAATAAATTAATGCTACAAAGCATTAAGTTGCATCTGTATGCTGGTTTGTCCAGAAGTGCTTGCACAATCCTGACACAGATTCCTCTTGCCAGCAGCATAATTAAACATGACTGGACAATTTTCATTTAAACAACATTTTGACAATAAAATGTGACATCATTACAAAAATCTTAGCATAAGTATTTCAAGTAGGACAGTGGGTGTAAAGAAGTGGGTGTAAAGAAGGCATAGATTAGTTTGGTATGACTGAACCACATGGTTCACACCTGTTAAGACTACCTGTGCATCTGGCATTACAGATTTTTTTTAGTAGCATTTATATATTTATAGCAAGTACATTTCAGCTCATAATTAATTCTATCACCAACCTGTTGATCTAACAGGCTTTTTTGGGGGGAGGGGTGGCTGAAGGGGCTAAGAACCATATTAAAATCATTTATAAGACCATGTACTAGTCTGATACTTTTGTTGCAGAGGTCTCTAAAATACCTTTCCACACTACTTGAGGAAATTGAGCTAGAAGTCTGCAGAGAATAACCATGTTTAAATACCACGGTCGGTCTCATTTTAGTGTGGTCAGAGCCTAGCTTCCCCGACAAACACTACTCAACTCCCATGTCAACAGACCTCATATTTTGTCTAATTTTCTTTATTGTATGTTTTCATGATCTTTCTCGACCTTGATGGGGGTTCTGTGTTTCAGGGAATCCTGTTTTCCACTTGGTTCTGTTGCTCTTTTGTTTCAGCAGTGACATTGAAACCACACCTTTATTCTGAGTGCGCTAATATCAGGATTCTAATTGTATCTGACACAAGAAGAGTCACCTGATTAGTGCTCTGCTTTAGTCAAGCAGAGATGCTAATTTCAGCTAAATCATGTCCAACAAAATCACAAAATTTTATACCTGAAATAAGGATTGTGCAAGACAGACTATGACTTTTTATAATTTTATTTCTTTTGTAAAATATATCACAGTCTATTACTGAAATGTTACTGGAAAGATTTTTAACATTCATCTTAAAAGGTATAAAAATTTACCATTACAAAAAAAATGTAAAACATCGTGTGACAAAATGAAAGTTCTTTTTAGAGATTCTTTAAATCTAAGGTACAGAAAGCAGGAGATTTTAGAAATAATTTGCTATAGTTCATCATGCTGATAGACATTGTACTCCGTTGCAGATATGAAGCCATCTCCGTCATGGTCATTCTTCTTAAATATATCGGCTAAAATAGAACCGTGAACTGATGCATCACGTTTTTTACCATCTCTTTCAAATTCCTGCTTCAAATAATGGCTTAGCTAAAAGAAAAAAATTAAAACATTATACTAAACATAGCTCAGAGTTCATTTTTGTAAGCTCATCGTGATAAATACTAGCATATAGACATTCATATCACAAATATAAAATGACATCAGCTAAAAGCTCCGACACTTGAAACTCCAGAGCAAAAGTACACTAAAAGGAGCAAAACATTAGGAACTCTATAACAAAAATAATGTACTGAAATGGTTATCTCCCTATCGTCTCAATATAAGGTAACAGTGCATAGTAAAAATCTTCAACGAATAGACACATTTGAAGATATTTTCAATAGAAAACTGAGCTTGAGTGAAATTAGTTGATGTCTGACTAGTTCGTAGTGGGCAAATATCTCTATCATGAAACCATAATTGATACTCTAGCTGGCTGTTGCAGCAGATAGGACAAGAATTTAGTGGGTGTAGAGTCTGAATTAACCTCTTAAATGTACTAATGGACCCTACACATTTCAATACACTCATTCCTCAAAAGGGGAGACTTTAGACACTGTGTGAGAGTGAAACAAACGTTGCATCCTTGTAAATCTGGGATGTAGCCCTGCATATAGCAAAGTAATAAGTAAAAGATGGAATCAGAGGCAGCTCATATAGGGATAATGCATGCTTTGGTTTATTGGTAGTGGTATATATATGTGATCTATTCCAAGTCAGTTGACTCATGTTACCTCATCTCGAGAGAGTTTCTTGTCACTGTCCATGTCTATTTGAGTAAATGCTTCAACACTACGTGGTCCTTTAGTCACTGCATACAGTTCAATCTCAAAGATCAATGTTGCATTAGGTGGAATGTTGCCTTGTGCTAAGAATATAAAAAAAACATTGTAGCAGTCACATTGGTCAAAGCTCATACTACTGGTACATACATTCATACAGCAGTATTTCTATTATCTATTAGGAATGGGTTAATAGTGTAATTTTCCAACTTGTGTGATACCTAAATAATAATCTGACCCCGGGCTTTAAATATTACACTATTAAGCCCGTCTTTGGGACTCCTTCCTACCTCATTCTTGACCCAGAGCAATCCTCTCCCGCACAGAACCCAGGACAACTCTCCTTACCTTTGTCTTCAGGGAGATATTGCCTAGTGGCCTGTTCTTTGGGTTTTGCAGCTACATGGGCCCCTCCCTATTCATCAGGTGTGCCCAAACCCAATAGTAAAGACCCCCATACTGCAACCACAGCAAATTCTCTTGGCCACTGCTGTGCAAGCTGTAGAAAGCTGAGGGAGAGTCACCTTAGGATTTTTTTAGCTCCCAAGGTCTCTAAGCTCATCTCACTATTAGAAGGTACAGGTGTTGGATATGAGTGTTTCCTGCTTTTCCTCTTTCTACACAATTGGAGGAGGCAGCCTCCAGCTCTCTTAGAAGATGTTAATGGATTTGGGGGATGGCAGCAGGCAGACCCCCATAAACACTGAAATGCATGATGAGAGAGGCGACCAGCTAGCCCACAGCAGAGTGCAGGGGAAATAGGGGGTCTTAGCCACCAGGAAGCCCACAGAAAACATCAAAGGTAATGGATTCAGGGGTCTTTTTCAGAGAAGGAGGTTGCTGGCAAAAGG